CAGCCTGATGGAGTTGAGCATGGGGATGAGGCCTGGGAAATGGACATCATGCACAGACCAGCAGAGTCCCCAGACTAGAGTCCAAAGCCTAGAACTCCTCCTTCTAGATTGTCCCCTACAATCTGGTGCATAAGGTTAGGTAGGGTATTACACCAGCAGGGGTTAAGTTTCCAAGACTCCAGGGCAGACTTCAGTAGGCTTCCAGGACTAGAGTAGGAGGATGGGCAGACAAGGGTGGAGAGAAGGGGATATGTTGAAGAACTGGTGAGACCAACATCTGGGATGGTCACTGCCCCTCCTCCTTGCCCAAACCGCAGACGCTGCGGCAGCAGGAAAATCGAGTGGTTCAGACCAAGGATTGTGCAACCCAGACCCGGGACGAGCCAGTGCTGGAGGTGGGAGTGTGGGGACTTGGGCTTGGAGACAGGATCCACTGCAGGTGAGACTCACTTGTGTGCTGCAGGCTGGTTTCTACACTAGGCTTCAAAGCCAGTAAGATCCACTTTCTGATTCAAAATCCACCAAGAGCTGGAACTGGAAACCCTGGCCCTGGGCTCCAGTGCCCAGCAGTCAGAGGTTGTGTGGCTGCTGTGGAGTACAGTGGGCGTGGAGGGGGAGGCCTTTGGTTCAGCCTCCTAAAGCGCCCCACAGTAAAATATGTAACTAGAGAAGTTCCCAAGAGAGCGAGCAGAGCCCAGCCAATCCCTAACATGGCAGCAGGAAGAAAACAGTCACAGGCACTCTGATCTGATCTGAGGGCTACCCCAAACACACACAGGAGGAATGGTGGGTTTTCCTTTTAATGAAAAATGTTGCCATACAAAGTGAAACGGGGGTGCCCCATCCCCCCACATCGAGGGGTGATTGAAGGAGTGCAAAGATGTCTCCTTGGGTCACACTGCTATCCAAAGGTCAGGGCTCTGGGTCAGGGACTAAAATTTGTGGACACAGGGCAGGAGAGAGGAGGAGTGAAGATTTGGTTTTAGTTCTTAAAAATTCCTTACGATCTGGAGTTCTGCATAAAACAAAAGGACTATGAGAATTTGGTTACCATTTAAAAATGAGGGGATATGAGCCACCACTGGCCTTCATTTGAAGAGTGAACAGCAGGAGATCTAATAAGAATATAAATGTGAGAGGGAAAGGAGAGTCAAAAGCATAAGCTGCTTACACTTCCTCCTCTTTCTTCCTCATCTCCAGCTTGTAGACAATCTGGTAGCCATCATCCCAGGCATAGAGCTGGCGCTCACGGGGGTTATAGCGAAGGCTGGCATGGGCACCATATCGACGTGGAAAATAAGAGAGTGCTGCCCGTTCAGGAGTCAGAGTACCACTGGCATCAAAGGAACACTGAATACGGGCCCGACTGGCAGGGCGGGTGTTATAGACAACGTATAGGGTCCCACAGATGACAAAGGCAGCCTCTGCATTCTCTCTGGGGCACGGTGTGTCCCACTGCTGCTCTGTGTCAAGCGTCTGTGGATCCAACTTGGCTAGACACAAATGCCTGTCATCGTCCCGAGTGGCATAGACAGCCCAAAGGCCCTCCTCATCAGCCGCCAGGTCAATGTATGTGTCTACAGTCAGCCCGTAGGGGGGTATCAGCTTCTCCGCGGGGAACACTGAGCTGTCCACCACTGTTCGGTTTGTCAGGTGAAATTTGATCAGCTGAAGAGTATTCTCCAATTCACCACCCCCTCCAGGCCCTCCAGGAGGCCTTCGAGCATAATACAAGAAGCCACCATACACCAGCTGCCCTGTGCCTACCCAGGGGAAGGGGACCCGAATTCTGGAAGCTTTTCGGGCAGCCATGGCAAGGGTGAAGTCACGCAGTCTTGGGAAGACGAAAGCTGTGTCATTCTGTGTGCCATCTAACACGTAGATCTTCTCTGCTGGCCCCAGCGGATCCTTGGTCCACAGACCAGAGGGACCACCAAACCGCTTCAGGATCTTCAGTGACCTCACCTGAGAGATTGTGTAGCCACAGTCTGGTGGGGAAGAGGAGCACAGGAGAGGGACACAGAGGCCAAGAGTTAAATATCTATAGCAGGAACTCCCCCAAGGTGGGCCATCTGGATCACAGGGAGACATTTCCCTGGGCATGTCCATTCATGGAGGGTTAAGAGATGGGGTCACCAATAAGGCATGGGCCTCTAAAAATTCTCAGTGGACTTGTCATTAGGGGTTTCCTCAAAACGTATTCTGGAAGACAGAGCCACAGTGGCTTTGGACAAGGAGAAGAGAAGCAGGGAAAAGGAGTTCTGAGACTGTTTGGGCCTCTTTAACATCACTTACCTGTCACCATGTCGTACTTCTCATTTCTTCGGCCCTTGCTTTTGACCCCAGGACCTCCAGTCACCTTCTCATCCAGCTCCACACAGGGCAAAGCTGGGTTCTGGGTCTCCAGATAGTCCACTTCCCGTTCCAGACGGTCCACTCTGCCTGAGATGGTGTCTGCCTCGGTTCTGAGCGCTTCGCGCTCCTTCTCGGCCACCTCCAGTAGAGGGAGCATCTTGTTCTTGAAGTCCCGCAGCTCAGCAGCTTGCCGACTACTCTGGTCCTGGCACTGCGCCAGCCGTTCCTGAAGGAATGGGGAGTCAGGGAGAGGGCGGGCTTGCAGAGTTCTTCCAGGCAAGCAGAGGCCCAGCCAAGGGAGTAAAGACCGGGAAAGGGAGTAAACTCAGTTAGGCTCCAATGGCCCCTGCTGCTCCCAAAGCAAAGGAGACTAGTTGTCAGGCAGTAACCCATCCAAGGAACCAGGCTTAATTCACCTAAATAAGAGTCCTTCAGCCTGCACTGTGATCTGAGCCTCCAGGAAATAAAGACTCTACAGACTTCAAACTGTTTAAAGGGGGGGTGGACATTGGGGTGCCGGGAAGACACAGGAAGTTGCAGGCAGATTACCTGGGAAACTTCAACACTACAGCCAGCCAGTTCTGAGATGCAGCCCGATTCTCATTTCCACTCTGTCCCCTTATTCCATCTAATCCCGAGGGGAAAGTGTTGCATTTATTTGCTATGCAATTGTCTGATGTTGGGGAAACAGAGTCTGTAATTAGGAGGCTCCCCACTACTAAGCTGTTTACTTTTCCGCAGCCTTTTAACAGTGCCCGATCTTGTCACTCCCAGAGCCCTGACAACTAGTTGCACTGACAGATGTAGAATAATTCCAGGCTAGGCTAGAAGAGAAAGGAATCCCTCACCTCTAAGGCAGCTAGTCGGCGTTCCATGTACTCCACAAGGTGGTGCTGCTGTCCCTGAAGGGGTCCCGTCCATGACAAAAAGACGACAACCAACAGAGGAGCGCTGGGCCCCATGGCAGCCTTAAAGTGGGGCCAGAGTAGGAGTGTGCATTCAGCCTCGTTCCCTCCAGTCCGTTAGCTTTGGAGGCGGGGTGGGGGCGGTACCTCCTCTTTCTGATCTCTGAGTGTCTCTCACTCCTCTGGAATGCTTTCAGTCTCTTTACAACCCCCCACCCCCTCCTTCCCGCCTGGATTGATCAAACACAGATGGCCCCTTTGCACAGTGGCCAGAAGCCTTAACCACCAGCAGCTTAGGTTTGTAAGCTCCTCGGGAAGGGGAAGAGATGGTAATCTGAAGGCAGAGAGGCCTTCTGAGCTGTCACACAGCGGAAGGGAGGGAACTGCAGGAGGCTGAGACCCCAGGACAACTCGGCAAACTCCATTCTTTTAGGAGGGCTCCCAGTGCTGACTTAGTAAGAACCCGACACCCTTCATTGATCCTCCCCTTCTCCAGCAATAACAGAAAGCATTCTCTGCCTTGTTCAGTGAAGCCAGAAACACAGATGAGGTTTGAGGGGGTGGGGGTTGGGGGGCAAAGTGAAGTCAAATTTCTATAGCTCATTGGCGCCACCTTGTGTTGAGCACCTGGGGCCATCTCTCACGACAAATAGGGGAAATCAGAGTAGGACTTTAAGTACCCCAAGTGGAAAAACTCAACCCAAGCAAGCCAAATGGATGGAATTTGCTAGTTTTTCTTTAAAATACAGGGCTCCCTATAGAGTATCAAATCTCTGATTTAGCCCAAGGAAAGAAATATAAAAATCAACAATAAAACATGAGGCTGTTAAGTGCTTTTGTTATTGGGGGCAGAGTGGTGGATTGCAGTTAAATGAGGGCCTGAGAGCTATTCAACATAGCTTTCCAGGTATTCCCTTGCCAAAGCAGGAGGGTGCAGCAGGGACAAACTAATTTACATTCATGGATTTAAGGGGAGTAACCTGAAAAGATACTTACAAAGTCCTCTGCACCTTCTAAACCAAAACAAATACATTCGGAGCTTCCTATCACTGGGAGAGAACAAATTATTTGTCATCTCTCTTAGAGTTCAGTAGGGTATTTCTCATTTCTTTACAACTTTATGACTTTTAAGGTTATGTACACTTTTGCGTGGCTGTATGTAGAATGTGCATGTGATACAAGTACCTGTGGAGATCAGAGGCCATCAGATCTTGTAGAGCTGAATTATAGGAGGTTGTGAGCACTGTTCCTGGAGACTGTGAGCTGCCTGACATGGTTGCTGAGAACTGAACTCCTGTCCTCTGCAACAGTCCACACTCTTAACTGCTAACCCTTCTCTCCAGACACAGTGTTTCTCGTTTCTAACCAGCTAGAACTGCAAATTAGCCCAAAGAAAATTAACTGGCCACTGTAAAGTTAGGAACATACATCAAAAAAGAAGTCAAGTAAACATCATTTACTCAGGGGCCTCCAAGTAATTAATCTAGAGAAATTCCTCTTTCTTTTCAGGAGGAAATTCTGTTCACTTTGGAATCAAGAGAAATTTGATCAGAGGTTCTCCTTGTTTTTAAAGATTTTTTTTATGTGTCTGTGTAGGTATGTATGTATGTATGTATGCAAGTGCCCACAAAGGCCAGAACCCCTACAGCTAGAGTTTCAAAAAGAATGTGTAGTCACTCCACAAAGATGCCATTTATTGATCACCTTTATGTCCTAACTTGGAAGTAAAAACAGCCAGAGTCAGAAAATTTACCCATTTTATTGATGCATTGCAATTGCTCTACTTTTTACCATATTATGTAGAAAATACTGAAAATACAAGCTACTTTGTAAAACCAAAGACAAACATTGAATCCAAAGATAAACTATGTTTTACACAATGGACCCTTTTCCCATAGTTAGTATTAAATTTTAAATAGCTATTTCTTTTGTTAAAATGATTATTTTACATACTCCCTAAGTACACCTGCATTACAAACATAGCTCAGTAATTCTCAGAACTACCTGTTTCTAGAAGCTTGTTGTAAAAGGAAGCACACAACCAGGAAAGGGAGAAAGGAAAAAAAGTTTAACCCACACACAGTAACTAGCATATCAAATACATTTAATAAAGTAGGAATTCCATTGCAATATCAAGGATTCAAAGCAGAAATACTAACATTACATATAATGTACATATAATGTACTGCTACATATAGTGAGATTATTTTTCAAGCTGAATTGAAACCACAACATTATATAAAGTTTAGCAACAAACAACCATGGAGACATGGAGACATGCTGCACCATCCATCAGTTAAAAAAAAAAGTCAAAATACAAAGCAGGCTCGGCCATTCCTGTCACTAAGAGGCAATTTCATTTCCTATCCTAAAAAAAACCATCTCAACTAATAGATCTCTGCATAAGAATGCAGAATAAAACACAGATTTTACTGTGCTTGCCTGGCTAAGGGCAGTCAAGCTAAGCCCCTCTAGTGGAGGATGGTGGGTGAGCAACCTCAAAAGCAGGCTGAATGGCCAGAATTGTTTGATATGGGGTTCTTATTCCTAGGGTTGGCATTTCAGATGAACATGACAATACTAATCAACTCCTAGGAACGACTAGGAACTCTGGAGTGATTACGTGTCCTGGTGTGCCTGCGTGGTTCCATGCAACCCTTTCCATTTCCCCTCAACTGGAAAGGGAGAAGCCAGAAATGCAAGTTCAAGGTCAGGCAATGCTGACCCAGGTCAGCTACTCACTATATTATTCATAGGGCTTCCTTCCATGCCAGCAGGGCAGTCAATGTTTAAGCCCCAGGACAGAATGAATGTAAAACCACTCAGCAGAGGGGAGGGTTATCTTGGACAATGTAAAATGTTAATTTGCAGACTGAACCTCAAAGTCTGTAAGTCACACTGCTAGTCTGATGTTAGAGGTGATGATGCTTGGGCATTCTCTTCTCCCATGGACTTAAGACTCCCATCTACAGAAACTGCTTATTAGAAGAGGGGGCAGGGTGGGGGTTGGTTTGTTTTTTCCCTGCATCTCATTCCTACAAAAACAGTAAATTTTGTCCTTGTAGAGGAAAGATAAGATACAAAAATGTTCTGACTAGAAACTAGAACTGTATTTAAACAAGAAAACCAGAATGCTTGGGGAAAAGGAGACACAAAGATATCACACACACACACATACACACACACACAGAGACTTAAATTGTTTAACACTAGTGACAAACTACACAAATAAATTTGTGGTTATCTCAACCAACAGATTGCTGAATGCAGAGCTTAATATAATAATTAAAGAAAAAGAAAATAGGTCATGTTCCTGGCAGGCTGTACTGACTACCTGCCCTGCCCTGGAAAACCTTACTCCCCATGATGAAGAAACTCTGAATTCGTCGACAGCTCCTCAGTGTTTCACCTGGTCCAGAGCTTGCTGACCAGGCTCCATGAAATCTCCCATCTCCATCCTGCACCTCCCTAACACCATCTCTATACAGAACCAATCCTAGAATTATCACTCAAATGTCATTTTCAATTCAGGTGGAACACATCTGTAGCTTAGGGTTAACCTTCTCCCTGCAGATCCTTCATGGGCAGGAATGTCCTCATCCTCAATACCTTCAACTTGACCCAAATCCATGGAGGAGTTGAATACTAGGACAACTTCACAGCTTGAAGGGCCCCAAGAATGTACATGTTGTTACAAAGAAACCTCAAAAACCTTGGTGATTCAAGAGGCTTTGGTTTCTTTTTAATATTCTTCACTGACTCAGAAGCCTTTCTGTGAGCTTCTTGTCACGAGTCGTTCTAGAAAACCCTCCTCATAGTATGGGGACATGTTAAGCAATACAACAGGCTCTTTGGTATTAACACATCTGTTATATGCCTTAAAAAAAAAAAAAACAAGCAAGCAAATAGTTTACTAGTAATATCACCTATGCGCAGAAAGAGCTACCACATGGGAAAAGAGAAAAAGAAATCCCATCCTAAGTAATTGCACATACTTTCAAATAAGCATATTAAGTACTGGCTTCATTACTCTCGCCTGCTTCCTGAACTCTTACAGAAGCCAGGTACTGAGGCAGAGTGAGAAAGCCACACAGGGGATGCTTCCATGAGAGCTGAGCTAAAGGTCCAAAATGGAACAGGACAGAAGTGGCAGTAAAGAAGGAAGAGCTGCTCCACCAGCAGAGATCACCGGTGCCTGCTTAGAGCCAGCCAACCTGATGGTGAAACGTGACCCTCGCCATGGTAAACACAGGGCTGCCTGCTGTACTGTGGTGATGTGGTTCCCAAAGATGTCAGTGCTGATATTGCCACCACATCAAGACCAAGCATACTATCCAGTTTGTGAACTGGTGCCCCACTGGCTTCAAGGTGGGCATTAATTGCCAGCCTTCTCCCACTGTGGCGCCTGGTGGAGACCTAGCCAAGGTCCAGAGAGCTGTGTGCATGCTGAGCAACACCACAGCCTAGATCACGAGGGCCTTTGTGCACTGGTGTGTGGGTGAGGACATGGAGGAGGGGGAGTTCTCTGAAGCCGGTGAAGACATGACTGCCCAAGAGAAGGATAATGAGGGGGCTGGGGCAGATAGTGCTGCAGGAGATGATGAGGGCGAAGAATAGCCCATGTGCTACAATTCTAGACTTCATTGTATGTGTGACTGTCCTAAACTATCAAGAAAGGTGTTTCCAGTTTAAGTGGGGAAGAAAAAAAGAAGGAAAGCTGCTGTTTTGATTTTTCACTGTTGGCAGGGAGACTGAGAACAATGCATTTACACAACACAGCTACTAAACCTGTTCTGTTAAATCCCAGCGAACAGCTTGGGGTTCATTCACTGGGGCTTGCTGGTCCATCCTAAGGCAAGCTCACTGTAAACTCTATTAACCACTACATTATCATATAAGGCACTACAATAAGGGAAGAGAGGAGAGGGGGAAGGAAAAGACACACACTGAACAACTCCTCACCAGACACACCTGTGCAAAACAATCCCAAGGGTCTCCTCTCCTTGCAGGCAATGCCCCTGCTCACTCAGCACTACAGTAATATGCTCTAATATAATTGCAATTAGTTCACATACATTCCAACAAGTATCAGTTCATTTTGGTTTAAATACAATGGAGACATAATTCATCTCCGGGGTAACACTGGAGGATCAGATACACACTAAATACACAATTCAAGTGTAATCACTACACAGTTGATTACAAATAACAATTTGGGTTAGAGGAAAAATTGTTATATTTTTCTAATCAATATGTACATATTTAATTATGCAAAATATTAAAACACCACCATTACAAAACTTCTAAAATATTTTTAAATTCAGTAATAAACTTTTAAAATATTTTTTGCAGTTCCTACATGCACTTATTATATAAGTCTTAATAAGAGAGCATTCAATCTGCTGTTGGCATACAAAGGAAGCTACTTTAAAGTAGAAAAGCTATACACAACTGCTTTTAGTTTCTCTAGCTTTTCTCTCAAATAAGTCACATGAAACAGAAGGGGGAGATGAGGAAAACACAGAGGCATGTTATTGAAAATTCATAGAAATCTTAGGCAAAGCTCACCAGTGCCAGTATCTCATCCTAGAGATTCTGCACACTATTGTATGCAAAACAAACAAAAAATCCACCACACTGGCTTTTCTAGTAGGAGAATTTAAGTCGAACCACCGAGAGAAAGAGGACTTTAAAAAAATAATCTAAGAAGGAATTCATGGTGCTTCATTTAAAAGAGTCCTTGGTGGGCACAGATCCTAGCCAAGTGGTGGGCTGCCTTTTTAACACCACTCTGCCATGAACACAAAAGTAACTGCAAACTTAGCCATTTTTGCCAAAAGTACTAATAACTTCCCAATCAGGAAACACAACATGGAAAAAATAACCAAATCATGTTAAGTTTCAATGTGCCATTAGCAAAGATCAACTTTTGAGGAGAAATGCCTGACAGGAAAAGTACAGCCCTGTATAAGCTGCTTTAAAATAAAAGGCAAGAAGTCTTAGTTTTTAAACAAACAAAAGTAATGACTTTTTCTCATCTGTTACAAGATTTCAGATCCTTCTATCAGCATTTTTCCTATGACCAGCAATCTTAATAAAACAAAGTAAAGAAGGTCTTCAGTTGTTTTTAAAAGCATTTCTAGAAATCAAGTCAGTGAGACAGAATATACATCAGAGGGTAGCTTCAGAATGATCGTTCTTCCTCGGAAACTGCAGAAGAAGGGCTTCTGAGCTCTTCCAAAGTCCAAAAATGCTGTCACAAGAATAAAGAATTAAAAAATAGGGCAGACTTGGGAGACTACAACAATGCAGTCAACACTGAGAGCGGTTCCCTAGAGAAAAGCCTTCTGCTTCAGTGGACCCCTGCAGAATGGGCTGCTGGCTAGGAACTTTCAAGAGAAGGTAATGGAGATGTTCACCAGAGCCCATTAAGAACTCAGGGCCAGTAGCAGGCAGCATGAAGCCTCCCTGGTGCTCAACTACAAATAAGAATACTGACTGATCTTGGTAGGACTCAGCGGGTATCCAGTGTAAATTGTTGAGCCCCTCGAAGACCCAATGTAGGACTGAGTGGCAAACTGGTGTTGGTACTGAGCAGGGGCCACGCTGGCAGAAGTGAGGAGGCTAGGCCCAACACTGACAGGAACCTGGTGCACCAGAGTGCTAGGGTGGGTGGTATAAGCTGCAGCATGCCTTGAGGAACCCTGGGGGGAGAAAAGATGAGCAATGGAACTTGTGGAACCCAGTGCAGCAGCAGAAGTGGGAGCAGCGTACGTATACAGGTGAGGCTGGCTTGGCAGGTGAGCAGGGGCTGGGGCCAAGTGTGGGTGCCCTGTCGAATGCAGTGGGCTGCCATGCTGGAAGGCGTAGGGGGCTTGGGAGAGCGGGGCCACAAATGCCTGCTGTCTGCGGGGAGCAGGGTTGCTGCTTCTTTCCTGCGAGGTTGGAGCTGACGATGACTGCTGGTTCTGGAAGGAGGAAGAAGGGAATGAGGAACCTTGAGGTTACCCTAGTTCATAGCACCAAAGACCTTGAAGTTCTGACGTGTACTGTTTCTGGACTGCCTTGCAAAAGAATCCCCCAACCTGGCAATAGATGCTGTTAGAAGATAGTCAATTATGCCTCTGCCTCGTGGAAGAACAGATCTTAACTCTGTTCAAGAAAGCAACAGTTTGCTCACAAGTATGACAGTATGAGAGAAGTGTTAGAAACTTAACGCACCCTCTCCTGGAATCAGTGGTTTGTTTAACCTTTCTTGCTGTCTTTTGCTCTCCTCTCTAAGTTCACCACAGCCCTTTTAAAGTGTGGAACCTGGAGTACATGCACTATCTCAATTTCCATTTGCACCTGCATGTGTTTTCTACTCTCTCCCAACAAAGCTAAACCCTCATTCTGATATCACACGAGCACCAAAGTTTAGTTGAGAAAAAGGGGAACAGAAATGGAATAGAGTACCCCTTACTACCCCATCAGAGGATCACATGGCAGGGCAGGATACACCCAACTCTAGGAACAGGCAAGATTAGAACCAGCTAATTCAAGTGACTTCTCATACAAGGCTCAAGTTATCTGTGGCCTAGAGATGAAGAGAATCTGGTCCCAAAGCAAGTATGGTGGAGCAGTACATCACAAACACACTCACAGATCAAATGAAGAGACGAAGCACATGCAGGTACGACGCAGGCCACAGAACACAAAAGGAGCTTCATTTGGCTTTATTCAGCAGTCCAGCCAGAAGCAAGGTTCTCCAGAGAGTAACAACAGGGGAGAACTCAAACAGAAGGTAGCAGCCCCTAGCGCTTACCTGGCTAAGGTTGAGTGGCTGCACGGCGCTGGTCCCCCCTCGTTGAGCTCGGTACCCTGTGGGGGTGATACAGCATCCAGATGACTGCCCACTCACTGAGGCCACTGGCTTGGTCTTACTGCTAAGGAGACCTATAAAGGGGTCAAGGGTTAGCATCATTGCCCTAACCTTAGAGAATCACCTAAGTCCACAACTGTCTGTAGTTTGCACAAGTTAAGGTCTCAGTATCCCTTACTCCCCTCAATTACATTTGTGCCAGAACAAAATAAACTGCATTATTCATTTCTTTTCTGTCTTGTCACAAAGTACACAAAAATCCTTAAATGGTTACTTAAGTAAAATTATCTAATCTCCTAATACATACAAGGAAACACTAGAAATACAGAGGAAACATTCTATATCTCCAATGAACCTACAGTTTTATATAGGAATGGGTTAAATAAGAAGTGACAATGGGGAGCTCAGAAAGACATTTGTAATTCTTAGAATATTTAAAGATCCAAAGGGTCAATGATGAAGGCAAAAGTCTATCCTTTGGGTATGTGTTGTATGTTGTTTTATTCCTTTTGGGGAGCTGCCATCCAGCTCCCAAATGAATCACACAAGGAGTCTTATTCTTAGTTATGAGTGCCTGGCCTTAGCTTGGCTTGTTTCTTGCCAGCTTTTCTTAATTTAATTATCCCATTCACCTTTTGCCTCTGGGCTTTTCCTGTTCTTATTTCTGTAAATCTTACTCTTACGCCACGGATTGCTGTGCAGCTGTGTGGCTTGGTGACCCCTGATGTCCTCCTCCCCTATCCCCCTCCCAAGAAGTCCTTGCGCTCCTTCTCACCCCTCCTATAACCCCTTATCCACCTGGCTCCTCCCTAAACCTCCTGGCAGCTAGTTGCTGACCCAGCCTCCTGACCACAGGTACATTGTATTTAATCAAATACATCTTTTGATCATTAAATAAATGTTCCAGAGCATAAACAAAAGTAACACACCTTAAATTAATGTTCTACAACAGGTATGTACTGCCTTCACACTCTAAGAAATTAAAGGGTGTTAGAATATAAAAGCTGGCTTCCTTATATGTTCCCAGTAGGAAAACTGGAATGTGGACTATATTATTAGGGATTAATATTGTTCATGCATAAGTCCTAATAATTATACTCAGAAACCTGGTATCCGCATGTTCAACCTTGTCTCCAAGGCAGCTGACTATCTCTACAGAAGAGCACATTGACTTAACACAAGTTCTTAAATCAGAACCCTTTTATGACCTATAAGCAATAAGTAGTATAATCCATAGCCAAACACTATGTGTAAGACACAGATAGCTAATCTAACACCAAAAGCCATCCCTCCTCTTCTGTTGGGGGATATCACACAATGTGAACCCTGAGTTTGCATTTGTGTTAATTAAATTAAATGGGTCAGGAGGCTGAGTTAGCAACTAGTTGACAGAAAGCAAACTAACCATAGAGCATTAGAGGGCATCCAGGAGAGACAGAGAGACACAGGAAGTAGTAGGATGGATTTGGAGTGGCACAGGTTTTTCTGGTTTGGGGGAAGAGGACGCACAGGGCTTTTGGAGATGCCAGCAAGGAGAGAAGGGTAGCTTTTTGCTCCTCAGTGTCTCTGGGCTTGCAGGCTTTCACCCCAGCCTCTGAATCGCAAGTCTTGTTTATAAACAGAATAGAGAGGTTTAAAGCTACTTTTAGCAGCAGTGACAGAGCCAGTGCCTGTGGAAACAGATTCCCAACAGGCTAGCTATGGCAGCTGCTAGAGAAACAGGTAGATAACTGGAATTGCAAAGTTAGCTGAAATAGCAATAGATTAGGGCCCAGCCACTGTGCCTAAATTAAAACAAAAACCTTCCTTTGCAATAAAGTTGCCAATGGGAAGCTACTGCCTAACCTTTGCTGGGCCTCTCTCTAGAGGTTAAGAAAGGTTTGTCTCCTGAAAACTTCTGATAGGATGCTAAGAATTCCAAGGTCCTGATCTAAGGATCCATGCAAGTCTAGCAACCAGAAATACTTGCAGTGGGAAGTCATATGAGTAAAAGCAAGCTTCTGTTATAAAATCAGAACTTGTTATTGCACAACTAAACAGCTAAATTAAGGACCGGTACCCAATAGCAAAATTGGCGGAGTTAATTGGGTAAAAATGAAACTAACCAAACATCACTGCTATGACTAAAAGTCTAAAGGGCATATTAAAGTCATTTTTAAAAGATTGATTTTACTTTTATGCATGTGTATGTATGTCTATGATTGACAGTGTCCAGAGTCCACAAGGTGGTTGTTTCCCCTAGAGCTACCTGAAGTGGGTACGATGGAACCAAATCCAGGCCTTCTGGAAGATCAGGAAGCGCTCTTAAACACTAACTCATCTCCAGGTCATAGTCATCTTTAATATTATCAAGCCCTTGCTATTTTAAATCATCAAATCCAAATACCTGCAACAGGCCAAACTGCTTACTAGATTCTCTTCCTGCTAGTTAAGATCCATCTTCTCAACTTTTTCCCACCAGAAGTGAATATATCTAAAACACTAGAGTGACACTAAACACAACCTCATTTTCATATTAATCCAAGCAAATACATGTAGGAAGATAAAATGATGCAAATAAACTTTCCTATTACAGGGAACTTATTTCAGAATTAAGCACTTTTCAAGTCTATGCTTAATCTTAACCACTGGCATAGTATTACTAAATATTAAAAATATACACACCTAAGGAAAATTCAATTCTAACTGCTAAGATCCTACTTACCTGAGGCCTGGGTTGCTACAGTGCAGTCACCAAGCTGTGCTTTCAATGGAGGCACAATGATGGTACGGGTGCCAGGGCCGTCTGTGGCAGTCCTGCCAGGTCCTTCCAGAAGTGGCCCACTGTTGCCCCGGAGAGCATTCAGAGTGTCTGTGGGATATGGGCTGCTCAGGGAAGAGTCAGAATCTGGAGAGTCATTGACAGTAACATAACTGATGACATTAGACCTCGCCTTCAGGCCCGAGCTGAGGAGGAAAAAAAAATCAATTATAACTGCCCTTTTAGGCAATGTGTCCTACATGGTCTGTGGTTCTCTCCTAACAACGACGACAGTAACCCCAGCAGCAAATGGCCAAAAAGTATTTATTCTGCATCAGACACTGTTTTCATATACTACACTAGCCAGGGAATCTTTTTTTAACCCTGAACGATAGGCACTACCATTCCCATTCTGTAAATAAGGAAACTAAAACATAGTCAAGGAATTCATGCAAGGTTACACAAAGAATAAATGGTAAAAAGGCAGCACTCAAACCCAGGACACAACGGTTTTGAAGTCCACAACTACTCCATGTTGCCTCTTGCCTGTTCTCATTCATAGTTCTTTCAATAATATTCTGCAAGCACCACTTTTTCTCCTTTATCATTTCCTTAGACAATTTAATCTAACGTCTCACAATAGGTTTTGTTGTTTCTTTGAGGCAGTCTTGCTATGTAGCCCAGCATGACCAGAAACTCAAAATCCTCCAGCCTCTGCTCCGCAAATACTGGAATCACAGGTGTCTACTGTACTACCCTGCCCACTTTCACTATATTTTTTGGGGGGGGGGGGAAGATTCCTTCATGACTCTCATTTTCCTATCTTCAGCTTCCTTATTTTTTAACTTTAATAGGATTGGCTTTAGTCAACGAAATCATGCTGGCTATACCTCATATATAATTTTTGCTATTACTCTATCACTTTCCCTCTCCAGGTTGATTTTTTTCTCTTCCCCAAATCAGTTCAATAGTCTCTTTCAAAACATGACTTGCAAGTTTACAATTATTCATATAGTCCTTTTGAATTGAAAGCCCAAAATGCTTCCTAACTTTGTTTCTCTAAGTTCATTCAAACTTTACTTAGCAGGCTGGAGAGATGGTTCATTAAGAGTGCTTATTGCTCTTCTAGAGTTAAGTTTCCAGTACTAAAGTCTGGCAGCCCATGAACACTGCAACTCTAGCTTCAAGGAATCTCACGTCCTCCTTCAGCCTCCATAAGCACCCAAAGTCATAGGCACATGAGCATAAATATAAATATTTTATTTACTTATTTGTTTATGCATAGCTGTCTCCCCCCCTCCTTATGTTTTTGGTTGTGAGCCTAGTCTTTAACGGCTGAGCCATATCTCTCCAGCCCCCCCCTCTTTCCCCCCCTTAAAGGCAGGGTCTCACTGTGTAGTAGCCCTCTGGCTGGCCAAAAACTTGCAATATATATCAGGCTGGCTTTGAACTCATTATAGAGATCTGTCTGCCTCTGGCTTCTGAATGTTGGGATTAAAGACATGTGGCACCACACCTAGAAATAATAGAACTTTAACTCTAGTTATAATTCTGTAAAGTCTCTTAATTTAATTTCACATGTGAATCATAGATCAAGGTTATACCTAACACTAAAAGCTCAATGAAGAACTTAACACAGATCAAGGCATTAGCCATTCCAACAGTTCCTTAACTTACTGGTTCCCCTCAGTAAACCACCTAGTTAAGGATCTGATGATGTGGCTTGAATGAGGCGTGCCCCCATAAGCTCACTTGGTTCCCAGTTGATGGCACTGTGTGTGAAGTTTATGGAACCCTTAGGAGGTGGAGCTTTGCTAGAGAAAGTATTCGCTGGTGCAGCCTTTGAGATTTTATAGCCTGGCCTCACTCCTAGCTTCTCTCTGTGGATCAAGTGTGATCAGCCAGTTTCCTATCAGTCCAGATTCATGTTCCAGCTTCCATATCTTTTCCACCACGATAAAATGGCCATATTTATCCATTCTGAAATTCTACATCAAAATGTATCATTACACCCCTGAGTAGCTTTTTGTCACAGCATTCAATCACAGCAACATAAAAGTAACTAATACACTTGCAAAAATGCTAGGATAAAAGGGAAAAGCTGATATTTAAGTTCTTCAGCTTTCAGACCATATTAGAAGAGGGGTCCAACCTTCCCCAACAAAGCCTTCCCACATTAAGATAGGAATTTCAAGTAATCTATCTACCTTATTTATCCCAATGAACTGTTCTCAGAGTCTACTGTGGCTCTGTTAAGATAGCCTTGAAGGCAAGGACCATGTCTGAGGTTTAACATGCATTTCAAGCCAGAGTAACTATATCAAACCTCTCTAATGTGTCAGAAGACTGATCTATTTGATAAATAACATTACAGAAAACTTGACAGGGCTCAGTTTCCAGAACTTCTAAGTTTGACTGACATACTTAATTACTTTTTCTGATTGTTCTTTTATTTTTTTAGTCAAAATTGCCCTTGAATAAAGCTATCAGTGAAAGACCAAGGGTATGCTGACGTTACCAGTCACAGAAGGCAATGGAGGGCAACCATTTGCCAGGCTTACCTACTGGGCTTGTATTTGTTATCCTCTTCTTCGTCAGTATCGCTGCGGATAGTGATAACGCTCACAGGAGGGCTGGGGGTATCTGGAATGATGATTGGCTGATGCTGATCTTGGACAGGGACTAGGGAATTGTAAGAAGATGTGGTTCGCAGAGGACTGCTCCCAACCAGAGAATAAACTTGGGAAGGCATAACTTCCAGAGAGGATCTGTAGGAAAAATTCACAAGTTAAGACTATTTGGTCCCCTACCCTACCCTCCCAACTGTACATCTTTTCTTTTGACCTCCTAATTGCTTTCTGTTTATTGGGTTTTTTTTTTTCTGATCATTAAGACAATATATTTAATTATCGAAGTTCTAATTCTGACTAGTGTTTATAAAAGAACTTACATTTTTATGCACTTTTGTCCACAGGTTAAGTTTCACCTTGTAAAAAAGTAGGCAGAAAAATGAAACATGTGGCCAGATGGTTCAGTGGGTGAAGGTGCTTTCCACCAAGCCTGAGTTCAATGCCAGACAGTTGACTCCTGTACTTTGTCCTCTGACCTACATACATCTGCCATGGCATGTGCATCACAAGCACACAGTCTCATACCACATCACACAAACAGTAAATGTAACAAAAAAGCAAAACAATACAAAGGTGGCCCAGGTTCAAAGTGACACAGAGATAAAGGATGATTATACTGAGGACGTGCCTGCCCACATGAAAAGGTCAGCTCATGCTCAACTTGGCAGTCACTTATTTCATACCCAAAATACCTATACTACAACATGCTGAATGTGGACACTATAACTCCCAAAGTCTTAACCATAAGCTCTAACAGAGACTTACTTGGAGACTGGAGCAGACTGCTTATTCTTCTTTGAAGGGAGGGAACTAGATTGCTGTTGTCTGACAACATGGGCAACACCAACATTCAAAGGCTGAGCAGTGGCCAACGTCACATGGTTAGTCAGCAAAGATGGCTGCTGCATGATAGTGCTGTACTGGTTGCCATGAGAGTGGGCATTCCTGTCCCAACATAAAGAAACAGAAGAGTGACTCCCCAAACCACTTGAAAACCAGGAACAAACAGGTATTAGAGATTAAGACACCAAGCACTGCTGCGTTTTACTTTTACCATCAGTCACTGGGATTAGAAGGGTTTAAGATCACACTATGTTCTTTCTAATCACTTTTTTGTTTGTGTTGTTTTTTGAGATAGGGGTTTCTCTGTGGCTTTGGAAGCTGTCCTAGAGATAGCTTTGTAGACCATGCTGGTCTCGAACTCAGAGATCCTCCTGCCTCTGACTCCAGAGTGCTGGGATTAAAGGCGTGCTTCACCAATGCCTGGCCTCTTTCTAATCACTTAAGGCCTTGTTTAAATATGAAGTAAATGATTCTCGACCACAGAACCTGCATTTTCCTACATTTCAAATTTTCTTATGACTTCTTTTCTAGCCTGATGAGTCCTTTTCTCAAAGGATTTCAAATATAAAAATCTAATTTTCTTTCTAGTCTCTTCATATCAATTATTCCTACTCCACAGGATCCTGCCCATACACATTTCCCAGAGAAGCAGGGTACTTGCCTCCAGTCTGCTAGCTGCTGACTACTCCCCATAGCCTCTGGAATCACTGCAGTGGGCTGGACAGAGTTGTGTAGAGCTACCCCAGGCAACTGCTGCCAAGTTGAAGGTAAGAGAATTTGTTGTGTTCCTCCAGGCCAGGCTTGCTGCAACAAAACATACATAAAAAGATCCAGACTTGACTCATTCTTAGTTTTTTATTTTGTTTTTCAGATGAAAGAAAAATGTGTATCTTAAAAAAAAAAAAAAAAAAAAAAAAAAAAAGTAGATTGTTAACTTGCAGAGATAAAAGAAAAAGAAAAAGGAAGAGAGAGAGAGAGAAAAAAAAAAAGAGATAGCACAGAGAAGAGAAGAAGCAAACTGCTCTCCTTTGGCTATCACCATAACCTGACCAGCAGAGTACTAAGAAACACAAAGGTCCCTGAACGTTCAGGTACACCCTGGTGAATAAAAAACTATAAAATACAGCCCTAGAAAGAGTTAAGAGGACTCTCTTTGGATTAAAAAAAATAGAAATTCTAAAATTTGAAGGCCAATCAGATAGGATAACAGATCAATTTGACCCATAAGTACAGGGCAGAATTGTTCCCTTTATTAGAAGGGTAGAAAATGCAGCAGACATGGATGACCAAATACCAAATCCTTTGGTAAATAAGCTGATGTCAGCAAAAGAACTAAAAACATTATTTATAGCTATATGCTATAATTAAAAAGTAAGTCAATGAGCAAAAATTTTTTAAATAAGTTGAAAGGTACATTATTCTTAAAAGTTGCCAAAAATGTTTCATGTATCATTCGTAAACGATATTTTAACACGAAACTAATCACTACAGGAAAATAGAGTGCTTCTAGTTTTTTAGAAACAATGATTGTACTTCCAATAGACTAATAAAGTATGCTTTCTGTACTTTTTACAGAAACTGGCATTTTCTGAAGAAATATTTTAACAGATTTGGAAGTTTCCTTTTTAAACCTGAATTTGGTAGTGCAATTACCTGCTAGTACATATGGTTCTATTTCATGAACTTTAAATTGCAAAGCTATCAAAACAGTTTAAAAAATATTTCTGCAAGTAACAGATCCACTTGGTACAAATACTGGTCCCAAACAAGAAGCCCTCTGAGCAGAGAAACTGCAAACACATCTGCTACCATACGCAGCATTTAAAACAAAACAGAACAAAACAGAAAACAAGAGAAGATGTTAAGTCACACCATGCGCCTTTCCATAAGCCAACACCTGCACAAGACAAAGCATGTAGTTTAATACAAAGCAAGAAGTAACATTCCAATGTGAGGCAGAAATCTGGCGTTCCAAGCGACGAACTGTTTTGACAGAGAAAGAACAAAAATATGCAAAGCTTAACAAATGGCTAGAGCAAACTTAAAAAGAGTAGCAAAGGTAAGGGGTCAACTGACATTCCCAATCTCAAAACTCTAAGTGAGCAACCACGGAGAAATTGTACCTATCTCCCTAGCACTTGGGTTTTATTCATATGAGAAACAATCCACAGGTGGCAAAGACTTGTAAACTGAAAACCAAACAAGTTCCATCCAAGTGTGTTTCTGTGTTTTTATTCATAAATACTTGAAAGATAACAAAATTTAAATCCACCATGAAAGATAAGAACAGGGGATTCAATAGTATATCATTTAGGCTGGAAGAGGCTTCCCTAATTATACATTTCAAAAAATGAAATGCTGGATTTAAAATAAATAATTCTAACTCACTCAAATAAACCAAAACAAACATCCAACCTCACTCTGAAGGTTACAAATCCTGAAATGCATTTCAAAGCAAGCTGTATTTGTTTTTCCATCTCTAAGCTGGACTCACCTACAGCTGCAGTTATTAGCACTAACTCCTCCCTCAGAACTTCTAATAACAAAGATATTATATTTGCAATGTTGTCAGCCATGTTTCCATCTTTGTATTAGAATTTGTCAAATAATTTCTCAAAAACATCCCTACAAGTAAGATCTTCTTTAATTTCGATCAATATGATCTATAAGTGTATTTTAAAGGGAACATCTTTAAATAGAAGATAAAAGTTTCCACTGATCATGAATTCCAAAAGTACTATCTTCAGACAGTCACAGAAGGAAGTTAATGTTAATGATAAAGCAACACGTAAAGAGCTTTTAAACATTTCTATATATATACACAACTGTTTAAGAAGATTAAAATAACAAAAGGGGGCAGCTAGCTTGATAGGGAATTCAAAGTTTGGCATCTGGATATCTATGGTGGGCCAATGGAAGGCCGTTTCCTTCTATTTCAAGGGCCAAGGATGAGGGCAGAAACAGGTGAGGATTGAAGCTCTCCTGCAGCTACACAGAGAGCTTTAACCACACTTGGCTGGCAAAGAAGAACCACACTGATCCTCAAACAGTGCTTCAGCAAATGTTGGGGAGGAAATAATATGACATTAAAGATGTAGCAAGAACACAGCCACAAGATGGCACATGCTTCCATGCTCCTCTGCAAAGACTAAGCTAATTTGGTTTTGTTCTTTTAAATAAGAAAACCAGAACAGAACAAAAACAAACAGGAAAAAAATAAAAAAAGAAAGAAACCAAAGAAACTCTGTTAGTAACACAATCAAGTGAGGGGAATTACCAGTACAGCAGCAGTCTGTTCAACCAGCGCCGGCCGGCCTGCTGCGCAGCTCAGGGTAAAGGGCACCGCATACTGCGGTGTGATGGTGGCTACTTGAGGGTGGAGAGTTGCTACCATTAGTGGTGTACAGCTTCCCTGAAATGTAGATTAGGCAGGTGAGTGAAATACCCGAGGCAGGTTATCTGGATTCAGAAGGGTTCTCATTCCCCCCCAAGTTATTACTGACAATGAACTAATTTCCTATCACCTAAAATGTATATGCCAAACACAACTTTTCCCTTTCAGCACTGCATGGCTTTGGCCCACTAGGCCAAAAGTCGATGCTATCAGGCAAAAAAGTGTAGGAATCTTTCTTGGACCAGATTCAGAGTATCCCTTCTATAAAACATAGGCATTTCATTTATGAAGAAATCTTCCTCCTACTCACACAGTAAGGTTTGGATTTGAAAATTTCTTGTACGTCATGGGCCACAGACATTAATATAGAATTCAAAGTATAATCCTTCATGATTTTTGTCTGTGACCTTAGTTTCTCAATCATCTGGCAAATATAACATTTTAAAGTTTTTCTACTAAACACAAAGAATAAAGGATTATATTTGAGGAGGTATCCTGATGTGATCTAGCCTTAAACTGTTATAAAATTCTAAAACTAAACAAAAAAGGACACCAGAAGAGCAAGAATGAAACACTAATTTTATAGCAAAAAAAAAAAAAAAAATGCATGTGTACTATCTTAACCATTTCTCAAGGTCTAAAATATAAGGAGGCAATGGAAGAGTTGCAAAAGACAGACAGGAATAAGTATTCTGTTCTGTTATAGATGTTTCATTTTAACACCTCTGAATCATGAGCAAGACAGATCTTACAATCAAAGCAAATTATTTTTATATATATATATATATATATATATATATATATATATATATATATATATCACAGAATCAAATATCTGATTCTCACTTTCAGCAATATTGAAGATGTTGTTCTGGCTTTTACCTGAGTAAGTACTCCTGACTGTATCTGTAGTGGCTGAGCAGCAGGCGCCTGGGGTACAATTGGCACAGCATTATCCATCCTCACAGGGAATCCAGAATGTTTTGTTGTTGCTTGTAGCCCAGCTGATGGAAAAAAACATCATAGTTAAGTTTCTTTGCTGGGTCTAAGAATACTGTGAGTGGGTTGTTGTTGTTGTTGTTGGGGGTATTTTAGCTTTTTTCCAGGTTTTCATTCTAGACACTTAAGACAAAGCCCTTTCATTCACAGAATTCACTGGAGTTAAAAAAAAAAAAAAAAAAAAAAAAAAAAAAAAAAGGAGGCTCTGTTCCCTTCAGGTTAAATAAGTGCAAAGGCTGGCTTAAGGGAATGTAAACTGTTAATGTTATAATACTATCACATTCCCATTATCAGCATAGGCAAAAGCCAAACAATTTCCACTCTAAGTTTCTTTCCATCACTAGGGGAATGGGTGAGGAAGAAAGTGCTTTTAAGACCGTGATCTATCAAAAACAGAATTGAACACAACTATAACTCAACCATTTATAACTTGTTACCCTCTTGTGTAAAATACCTTAAAGATTATTTTCCTCCTCAAAAAAAAAAAAATGTACTTCAAAAATTAGTCACATAGTGTATCTAAAGATAAAAGTAAAATCAACAGAAAATGAAGAAAGTATGCCTAGAAATAACAGGCACATAGAAACCTATATGATTTTCAGAAACCTACTTCTTATTCTAGAAACCTGTTCTTGTCAGTAGCATCCTCATTTGGGAGAATGAATTGCTGCTGGAAAACAGTGCCTATGCCTTACTTATAAATAAATGTTTCCTGTAAATGTGTTGTCTTGTGTTGGAGGAAAGGGGCCAACACAGTTCTTTTTGCTGAAGAGCCCTGGAAGATTTATAACTTACTCCTATCAGCATTTTCACTAGTTTAAGTTTCTGTCATGCCTCCTGTCTATTAATGCTTACAATTCTGCTAAGTGAAGGCACAAGCATTTCAATTAGAAGATGCTAAAACTACTACCAATCTTAATCTCTCTCTGCCTCTTTGCCCACTCCCACTCAGCAATGTCTTCTTATGTAGCCCTGACTGACTACAACACTGTCATCTTACTGTCTCAATCTTTCAAATGCTGTGTGCCACTATCCCCAGCCTTATTGTTGCCTTAACACTACTACAGAAGTGTCAAGTGAGCATAGTTTATAGCACATAATACTGCTATTTTCAGTCTTCCAATTTTCTATGTTAGTAATTTGTGAAGAATTTAGTAACAATTAGTGATTAAGAAAAAAGCATTCTAGGAATATTCAAAGAGAGATTAGTAAAATCAAATTTAAATCAGTTTAAATTTTTCTGGTTAAGTGCTACTGATATAAAAATAGAAACTAATAAGGATATTAAAATTTAAAAGATGTCAGCCAAGGTGTCTTAGGCAATATAATCCAATAGGAGAGCTAAGCCATTCAAAACCCTTGTCTATAGTCTTTGGTGAATGACTACCTCCAGGCAGTGTTGTGTTAGAGCTTCCTAAAACCTGTAGGGACTGAGGAATCAAACTTGGGGAGGAAATGGTCACTACAGGACCTCATTTATGGCTCCCAGAGTGATAAAGTAAAAGGGGAAAAAAGTTACAGACTAGTTACCACGGGGCAAAATATGTATACTAGTCAGCTGGAATAGTACTAAACTATAAATGCTTGATTGCTGTACTTACTTTCACTGAGGCCATTTTGTAAAAGACAGAAATGTGAGCAACATGAAATAGAGGACAGCTGGATAGAAATCAGCATATAGCTGAGGCTGGTAAGTCAGCCAACAACTTTATACAACTACCTAGGTTTAACTACCAAAAGGCAGTATGGGATATTTCAATGCTTATGTGATGAACCCCACTGCCTAGGTTTCAATTGATCTACCATAAATGACTAGAATACTTTGGTCATTAGCAGGTCTCATCATTTACAGATCAGGGTGATATTACTCATTTCCTAGAGCCATCCATACATAAGGATAAACGATAAGTGTAGAAGGACTGCCTGGCATATATAATAATATATTTAAGGTATCACTTCCTTTATTTCCAAACTCCCTCTGGTTCCAAACATTTTAAAATCTGCTCTATTAGCTCCTAAGGTTATCTAGGAGCTTAGACTTCTTAGAAAAACTTCCCCCCAAAGCTTGTATTATACCAAAAGGAGTTCTCCCACACTCCCTGTTCTACTGCCTCAGTTTGCATTTTGTTCTGTTAAAAAACTCAGAAGCAGCAGAGTACCTCAGAATCTCACGTCTGAAAACTGTTCCTGCAGAATTTACTTTGGAAAGGGTGACAGGAGGAATGGCTAATTTGCTAAGTTCTATAGAAGTATCAGTTTGTGACAACCCAAATATAGAATTACTCCTATAGGTACATATAGAGAATAATTTGGTAAGTTGGGCTAAATTTGCATTACGGATGGTGAATCTGCTCCTCCGCTCTCCCTGCGGCCTCTCCCTGGTTTACATCGCTATCGCTCTCCTGGCCTCCCGGTAAGCTCTCAGTCTCCCCCAGCCCCTCATTTCCTTCAGCTTGCTTCGACTCTGTCAGAAACCAAACAAACAAAAGTCACAATCAATATTTAACTGAGGTAAAAAGATAAAAATGCTACCTGCTTTTATATAAAAAGCTATGAGAAGTCTGGACCTTGGCTTATTCTTACAGGATACCAAGTTTTTCTTTCTCTTTTTTCAAAATCGGTTTTAGGTTTGCATACAAAGTGGGTTTATCCTCATACACATCATACACATCATGACACTTTCTTCCCATTCATCCTCTTATTGTCCTATTCTTCCCCGCTCCCCCTGAAGGTGGTTCTCCTTCTTCTCCCAGCTAGTCCCCATTCTGCTTTCCAATTTACATGTACTCCATTACCCTCTCTATTTCCCACCTCCTGTAAGGTCTCTTCTCCCCACCACCATTCTCTTTCTAATTTCAAGACCCTCAGACACATATATAAATACACATTCACATGGAGGAGAGGGGGAGACGGGGCGAGGGGGGATTTTAAATCTAGGGTCCACATACAAGAGAAAATATGGTGTCTGTTGTCTGAGTTTGCCTTATTGTTTTTACTTTTACTATTTTTGGAAGACACCATCTTACTATACTGCCTGACTGGCTCCACAATCTTCCTGTTGGGATTACAGGGGTGAGCCACTACACCGGTCTCACACCGACTTCCTAAGGGAAAGCCAAATGTGTTGTCAGAAAAGATTCAAAATAATTTAACCTTTCAAATAGCTTCCCAAAATATTCAACACATGTTTCCCATGTTGGGGCGGGGGGCAGAACTGAACAGACTGGATTATAAAATAATAATAAAAAAATAAAGTAAGGAAGCATTAAAATGTGAAAATTAATCTTATTGGGATAGCTATGGAGTTTGAAGAATGAGTCATAGGCTGAAGCAGATGTCTTAATGTCTTCCCCACAAGTACTACAGCTTGCTTGCATAATTTTTCAGTTCAAAAATAATGATTTGTATTACTGAATGAAATTTTTTAGTTTCTATATTCTTAACTGTTTATATCCTATAATAAAGTAACATTTTATTTTAGTTTAAAATGGAATGAAATTAGATTGAATACATAACAATTCTGATTATAGCAATTTAAAGATTCATATATTCTACATACTTAGACATATTTATACAAGATAAATGATATTTTGCTTCAATGGGCACAAAAACACTGAGGCAATTCAGTTATGGAAACACACACTGAGCTCCTCTAATCTGTCAGGCAGTATCATAATTACAGGAAAATCAATATAAAGGGAAACTACTTTGTGACAGCTCCCAATTCCAGTTTTCTTTATCATCAGTTTAAACTTGTCAAAGATCAGAACTAAATAACTAGATCTGCCTAGAATGGGCAAGTCTAGTGCAATACTAAGTAAAAACAGAGGAGTTTTCACACTTACTCTGAAAAGCAGGTGGACATACTATAAATGTTTGTTGGAATGGATCTGTCTGAGTGCAGATCTGGGTAGTTCCAGGCTGTAAAGAAACACCTTGTTGGGCAACTCCAGGAACTGGTGCAGCAGACGATGGGTACAAAGCCGACTGGTAATTTAGCAGTGAGACATCTGAATTAGCCAGAGAAAGAGTAGCAGCTGCTGCAGTAGAACTGGAAGCTAGAACACTGGCCTAAACAAAAGGATCATAAACGTACATTAGTATAAGATGCAGATAAAAATAAGCATATATTCTTAAAATGTTTTGTTTTTTTTTTTTTTTTTGTTTGTTTGTTTAAAAAAAAAAAAAAAAAAAAAACTTTTGAGGCTGGCTCTTGGGTAACCCAGGCAGGGACCAAACTCCTTATGCATGCCAAGAGTGACATATGAACCCCTGATCCTTTTGTTTGAACCTCCCGAGTATGGGACTAATAGGCATGTATCCCCATACTTGCTCTGTGCACTGCTGGGCACATCTAGTAGGGGTTTTACACATGTTAGTAAGCACTGTACCAACTAAGCTATAGCCCTAGCCTCAAAAAAGAAACTTAGACAGTGATCAGTCTGCCTCTGCCTCTCAAGTGCTGGGATTAAAGGGAGTGCCACCACCCACTGCTCTTTTGTTTGTTTGTTTTTAATCCTTATTTATTATGTATACATTGTTCCATCTGTATATAAGCCTGCATGCCAGAAGAGGGCACCGCATCTTCTTATAGATGGTTGTGAGCAACCACATGGTTGCTGGGAATCGAACTCAGGACCTCTGAAGAGCAGCCAGTGCTCTTAACCTCTGAGCCATGTCTCTAGCCCCTTTTTGTTTGTTTTTTAAGACAAGGTCTTCCTCCTCTGTAGTGCTGGATGGTCTGGAATTCATTATGTACATCAGGCTGGCCTGAAACTCATAGAGATCTGTCTACCACTACCTGGGATTTAAGGATACACCACTACACATAGTGCTTTTATTTAAAAAAAAAAAAAAGATGGTTCTGGGAATCAAACTCAGTGTAGCACCCTTACTCATGATGGAGCCATCTTGCTAGCCCAGAACAAAACTTTAAAATGTAATGTTAGCTATTTTTGAAATAACTTTCTACTTAAGAAATTTTCTAGGGTTGGGAATACACAGCTCAGTAACACAGTGCTTGCCTTGCAAACAAGAGGTCTGAGATTCAATCTCTAGTGCAAAAGTAAATAATAATAAAGAAATACTATGAAGATGAGTAAGCACATAAAGAGTGGCAAGTGGTTATTCTTTGGTGTTGCACTGATTGTTAACTATATAAAACTCAGCAACTTCTGCAATATTTCTGTCTTAAAAGCAGACCAAACTAAGATTAAGCATTTCTTATTGGCAAGAAAATACAATACTACCCTTTTAAGATCATTATTCAAAGAAACTTTGAGTAAGTAAAATCCTATTGGAAAGAGTGGGTTATTTGACTAAACTTAGTAAACTGGCAGCAACAAGGAATTCAATATTCAGAAAGCATATATACAAAGACTTATAAGGATATGGAGTAGGCTATCAGCATATGACTGACAGGTATTTCAGTCTAGCTGGTCTTTCATTACATTTGCCAAGTAGAAAATTCTTTTTTGTTAAATAGAGGAGGTTGAATCTTGGAATTGACCTTTATTATTATCGAAGGTGTGTGTGCATAATAATAGTTTTGAGTATGGGCATGTGTGTTCCACAGTAGGAAAACAACTTTTGGAAACCAGTTTTTTCTTTTAACTGTGAATGCTCATGATGAAACAGAGGTCTTCAGGCTTGCATGGCAAGTATTTTTACCTGCTAAGCCATCTTGCCTGGGCCCTCAAATAGAAAATGCTTAAGAAGCAACAAAAAAACCAACACAAGGACTGCTTTCTTTGTCTTACTGCCTTCTGTCCCACTTAGGCTTGAGTTTTCACAATCATTCACTGAGTACCTGATTGTGCACTGTGTTGAGCTGGTTGCTGAAGCTCATGGTTAGATTTGTGCTTGTATTTGGAGCAACATGTGTAGTGAAGGGACTCTTGATCTGACTCACTGTGTCATACATGTGAACCCTCCGCTTGCAGATCTCCATGTTCTGGAAGCAAGACTTAACACTGAAAAAGATTAAAAATGTATTGAATAAATCTGAAATTTAAACAATAAAAAACTCAAGACAACCATGGAACATTGTATTTCCTCCAAATATTTTCAGGAGGGAAAAAAAAAAAAAAAAGAATCAAGGATTTTAATGGTAACAAGAAAAATAAAGACCTCTCTTTAAGCCACACAACTTTTCAGTAAGAAAAGCACCAGTGACCCAAATACACAGGCACCAAAATTAACCGCTAACTTAAAAGTTCCCTGAATAGAATGGCAACTAAACCAAGAGCCACATCATGGCAAAAAGCCCCCAGATTGTACCATACTCACTGGTTACTATGTGGAAAATCCAGAAGGTGAGTCATTGTCACAAACTGATGGTTCAGAGTTTTCAGAGGGGTGATTCTCTTATCTGCATCAATCGTCAGCATTTTCTTTAAGAGATCAATGTATTCTCTCCGGTCTGCTTTCTCTGCCAACATGTCTGTTCCCTCTAAGTCTGTAGACATATTTACCTTCCAAAGGAAATTAGAAATATTATATTCCCCCACTTAAATTAAATAGATTAAGGATTTACTGTGTCTACTTTTCTCTTCAAAGAAGAGAAAGCAGATATTTAATACCAGTACTTCAGAAAAGGGAAATCTGGGGAAATAAAGTTTAATTACAGAATAAATTTCCACAGGAGGAAACTCTTCTGCTTACATGGTACAACAGAGCTGAATTGATTCTTGGCATTAAAATTAAGCCAAAAAAAAAAAAAAATGTTTGTTATTATTGAAATATACAAGCTTCTACTATTAGAAAGATTAAATAGCATTGTACAATGTGTTTAAATTTGGAACACAATAAGCATTTTCAGTAAATGTAAGCTCTTATGCCATTTTTATTTAGTAGAGAAACGAGACAAGAAAGAACCCTTTATAAGTACCACTCTAAAATAAGGGCAAGAAACAAGCCTAGCAAGCAAAAGTAAGGGAGAAACACACAGGTTGACTCTTGTTAAAATGCCTGGGGTCAGAAGTGTTTCGGATTAGAGATTTTGGAAGTGGTAGTGCACAACTTTAGTCCCAGCCTTGGAAGACAGAGGCAGATAGATCTCTGTGAGTTTGAGGCCATCATGGTCTACAGAGTGAGTTCCAAGACAGCCAGGGCTGTTACACAGAGAAACCCTGTTTTAAAAAAAACAAAGACTTTGGAATATTTGCACAGACTTCACCAGTTGAACAGCCCCAAATCCCAACTCTGAAATCTCCAATATCTCAGTGTTTTAGTTCCACTTGGTGCTCAAAGAGCTTCATACTTGAGGATATGTTTCTGTTCGGTGCATTTGGGCTAGGGAAGTTCCATCAAGTATCTTTAAAGTATCCACTACTAGGATTAAATGTTCTTTTAACACATAGCAAAAGAAAAGCATGCGAGTCTGACTGAAGCACCATGTAAACTCCCACCTTTCTAAGCTTGTCACACTCACCTGAGCCATGTCATCTAAACAGTTAAAAATGTACTTCCGGGCTTCTTTTGACTTTATTCCAGTCTCCAATTCATGTTCTTCAGGTGTCTGTAAAACATTGATTTTGAAAAAACTATATTATTCACATTTTTATTTTAATCTGAAGCCAGAATACAAAGAGATTGTAATGTCATCTTGTCAGCTATAGATGGCAAAGATAGTAATCTGAAGATCTTACAGTGGAGAGGCGTGACCTTACTATCTGGCATCCTTGCAATGGTACTAAAACAGGTGTGGCAGCAGAGATACCGCACAGTACTGAAGGAGGTCAGGTGAATGGGATGTCACCATTTCTCTTTCAGCCTCTTGGACATGGACACCAGGCCCCAATACTGTTTAACAGGCAGAGTATCAGGAGATTTACTAATTTCTCACACTGAAGTAGTAAGCTCAAAATTAAAAAGAGACTCTTATTTCAGCAAAATCTCTAAGACCTGAACATAACAGTTAGAAAATTAGGGTGGCTTACAGCATTGGTGAGATCTCTCTGTAGTAGTCATTACATTTTTCTAGCTCCCCACACTACTTACTGAGCATGATCCTCAGCCAGCTGAACTGGCTCCTTTGAGTTTATCCATATATAGGCCTAATGGGTATAATACAATCATTTCTCAAAGGGTTTCCTCCTACAAACATACCCCCACTTTCCTCCCTCTAAGTCAAAAAATTATTAACTAAAATCTAAACTTAAAGTTGTAGGGAAGACATACCTTAAGCCTCCACAGTGGGTACCCTAAATTAGGATCTCTGTTGAAGAACCTGGTAGTTTTTGTCCCAGCACTGAGAAGATATTCAGCTGGCAGGCCTTGTGTTTGTGAAATATAACGAATCTGAAAAATTAAAACAACCAAACATCAATTTCAAGGAGAAAACAAATATCAAAAGCTTTTACACTGAAATATTAACTCTAGTCAGGAAAGGGATGTATTATGAAGAAATTAACTCTCTGATCAACACAATTGAAATACAACTGTGAACAATCTATACCAGAATGCACAGCCACAAAAATACCCAAATATTTACTTAGTAAGTATTATTTCAAAGACAACTCACTTTTGAAATATTTTTAGTGTAATCTTTTTTCTCGCATATCAGACTTTTAATAAAAAGTTAAAAAAAAAAAAAAAAAACAAAACTAGATTTCTGGAACAGGCCAGAATAGTTTCCAATTCAGAGTAAATAATGAAGACAGCCTAGACCAGTTCAAGAGCAATAGAAACAGTGAATATAACTGAGAGGTACTGAATTGAGAATACAATTATCAGCATGTAATTTTTCTTAATGTCTTTCTTAATCTACAGCCTACCTGGGGGCAAACAATGATTTACTCATCAATGAGTTCTTATAGTAACCCAAACAGTATGATTGTCAGGACAGATCAAAGACCCTAAGTGTCAGAACTTAGAATTATAAAGCTATTAGAAGAAATCTGATAGGAAGCTGTATAATACTGGATTATGCAATATTTCTAGGATATAAAACCAAAAAGTACAAATACAGGCAAACTAGACTTCAAAGTAAAGAAAATTTGTTCACCAAACACTATCATCATCAACTAAAAAGATAGCCCAAAAAGTGGAGGAAGGGATGTGAAAATCCCATTCAGTAATGATTAATAGTTAGAACAGAAAAATCTGCCAGGTGGTAGTGGTGCACACCTTTAATCCCTGCACTTGGGAGGTAGAGGCAGGCAGATCTCTGAGTTCAAGAATAGTCAAGCCTATTACACAGGAAAACCCTATCTCCCCCCCCCAAAAAAATTCTACAACTCAGCAACCAAAAACCATAGTTAAAAAAAGGGGGGGGGGGACACAATGAACCTAAACAGACATAAAATGGTCAAGAAGCAAATGGAAAAAGACACAGTCTCATTAACCATTAGGGAAAGGCAAATCTAAATCACTATGAAATAACACTTTACACTCAAAAAGATGACTAATCTTAGAAAAACTTAAAATGATGTTATCTATGTTGTAAAGAATTAAATGTTGAGGTCTCTGTCAAAAATACTTTCGTGGTCCTTCAGAAAAAGTACAATTACTATATGACTTAGTAATTCCATTCTAAACTATATATGCAAATATTGGGGATGTTGCTCATTTGGCAGAATCATTGCTGCCTAGTATATGCAAGGCTTTATATAGCACTATTAAATCAAAGAGGAAAAGAACAAAGGAGGGAGGGAAGGACAGAGGGGGAAAGAAGGAGGAAGGGAAACTTTGATATTTGTTTTTGATTTTTAAGATGTATTTATTTATTATGTATAGTGTTCTGCCTGCATGTATGCTTGCACACCAGAAGAGGGCATCTCATTAGAGATAGTTGTGAGCCACCACGTGGTTTCTGGGAATTGAACTCAGGACCGCTGGAAGAACAGTCAAGGCCCTTAACATCTGAGCAGTCTCTCTAGCCCCAGACTTTGATATTTGATACCAATATTCACAGAAGCATTATTCATGATAAGCAAAAAAAAAAAAGTGTATTGCTAATAACAGAATAACAGAATAAATACACACACACACAAATGGAACATCATTCAGCCATAAAAGTGATGTTCTAATACAAGTAAAAAAGTCTATCACAGAGCACACTTCCTATGTGATAAATATTTATGATACGCCAGAGTAGGCAAATTTACATAGAGGAAAAAATAGCTTAGTATTTGTGTAAAGGTAAGAAAACTGAGGAGTTTGGATGGAAAAAGGCATTAACTGCCAATGGATATGTGTCATTAAAGAATGACAGAATGTTCTAAAACTGATAATGATTGTACATTCCTATAAACACACTAAAAACCCATTAATCTGTACACTTCAAATGGTTGGTATGTATAATACGTGAATTCTAACCCTATAAAGTTGTTTTTATAAAAGCAAACAAAAAGCCCTTAGCTGGACTCTGCCGTATGAGTCCTTTTTTATTACCCAGATGCACCAAGAAAAACTATCCCCAACCCTGCTCCCAAGCAGCATCCTATTTATTCAGCACAGCAAACTACTTCCTCCTATCGCCCATCAACATATTACACAGAAATTTTCACAAGGACCATATCCTTTTTCTTTACAAGTAAAGTTCTGATTGCTATCTCAGCTTCTAAATCCAGTTGTACTTGTTTCCACTTCCTAGGAAATTTACACTAACCTGTGGCTAAGCTTCAACGGGTGCCACTGAATAGCTGGACTAAGGACTGCATTCCTGGAGGCCGTAAGTGCTTGGGGCAGGACCCAAGAATCCCCTCAAGTTGTACAAAAACAATGTGTAGATTTTTAGGAGTGAGGGGGCTTCAGCTTCATTTGAGTCTCAAAAGGGTTTAGGAAGGACTAAGAATCAATGTCTGATTCAATTCCAATTACGGGTTTGCATCGTTTCCTAACCCTCATATTCTTTTCTTTTAAATCAGAAAGTTGGGTTTTTTGTTTATTTGTTTGTTTGTTTTTCCTTTACAAGGTAGGAAAGATTAAAAAGTTATAAAGCACAACATAACTGGCTACTTATAACATCAGCAACCTATTTTATAATTTACTTCAAGTCAGTTAAAAAATGTGACAGAATTCTAAGCTGAGAAAATAATGTTTTGCTCTTTTTCCCCCCCCCCTCTAATTACAGATTACTATTTCTCCAAAACAAGACAAAACAGAACTCATATATCTGGTGTGTGTGTCCAGGGCGGTGTCAGCTGATGAAAGACTGGTGACATGCAAGTCTCTACTCTTAAAGAGCTGCCAATAATATGTGGGCTCTTTTTTTTTTTTTTTTTTTTAAAGAGCAACAAATGAGAACTCAAATTATTTCCACTACAAAATTTTCAACAGACCAATTTCTTATGAAATGGTAGCCTGTCGTCTAAAATTGGCCGGTTTTAACACAGTAGCAGTATTTCACAGCCTATGAGTCAGTCAAAGTGGCACACACCTGGAATCCCAGCACTTGGGAGAGATGCCAGGACTGGGAGTTCAAGGTCAGTCTCCACAACATAAGTTCAAAGAAATGTTTTATAACTCAGATGATGGCTCTCTTAAAACCTATTCAGAAGAGACCTAATCTGTAGCACAGCTTCTGAAACCTAATGTGTTCAGTTGCTTCATTCTGAGCTATGCATAAAATAAAATATTGACAGTTCTAAGTGAGCCAAAGTTTACTCCCAGAACTCCAGTTAAGCCATACTTTTCTTTCTCATCTCGTAACTCTGATACAGTTGACTAGAGTAAATCCAACAGAGCAAGAATAATGCCAACCATATATAATATAAACAAAATCCTTCTTGATCACACAGATAAAAACGCAACTTAATGGACAGTAAAAATAATTATTTTTGTTTGTTCTTCCTTTTCAAGACAGGGTTTCTCTATGTAGCCCTGGCTGTCCTGAAACTCATGCTGTAGATCAAACTGGCCTAGAACTCAGAGACCCACCTGCCTCTGCCTCCTGAGTGCTGGGATTAAAGGCATGTGCCACCACTGCCTGACAAGAAAAAATGTTTTTACTCTTCAGTAACAATTGGACTCCTTTTTCTCTATCTAAATACTTCACTAGCACACTTATTTCTCTAGAATCTATTGCTCTAGTAATAACAGTTGACCAACCCTTAAAGAATACAAGGGATAAGGCACCAACCTTCCTTCTTTATAGTCAAAAATTTGTACATATCTTCTGCACACCAATGCTGGGTATCAAATTTAGCCCTCTCACATGTTAGACAGGTGCTCTACTGACTATTTTGGATCCCCCAAAACTTAAATACTAATGGCCTAGCATTGACCAGAAACCTTACCAAAACATGTGACTGACATTTTTGTGAAAAGAAACACAAGAGACCAAGTTTTCCTAGCTACCTTAAGCAGAAATGATAAGCAGTATGTAGAATTTTAATTAGATGCTCACCTTGAGTTCAGTGTGTCAACATCAAAAGATGACTACAAAATGCCTACAATAGCCCAGTATACACTAAATTATGAATTAGCACTATATTGTAAAGCTTGAGTTCCTGTTAAGAATGGTATCAAGGCTGGGCTTAGTGTCACATACCTTTAATCCTATCACTCAGAAAGCAAGAGCCAGCCCTGTCAACCTAGTGAGTTCCAGGACAACCAGGGCTCTATGCAAAAAGACCCTGTCTCCAAATAAAAAATGGCATCATGTGTGGTCTTATGTGCAAGTTTTTGAAATGTTTTAACCTTTTAAGAGTAAATCTGAAGCTGAGCAGCGGTGGCACACTGTTGTAGAATATTAGTTGAAGATGTGCTACACTCCTTTATGCTGTGGAATATTTGTTTAATGATGCAAAGATATGCTGCATTCTTTTATGTTGCATTTGTTTAACTCTATGAAGCTATGTTACTTTGCCTGACTAAAACATCTGATTGCTCTGTATAAAGAGCTGAATGGCCAATAGCTAGGCAGGAGAGGGACAGGCAGGGCTGCTAGGCAGAGAATAAACAGAAGGAGAAAAATAAGAAAAGGAGAAGAGAATGCCAAGGGTCAGCCATCCAACTACACAACCAGTCACAGAGTAAGAAGAAAAGAGATATAGAATAAAAAAATGTAAAAGCCCAGAGGCAAAAGGTAGATTGGGTAATTTAAGTTACCAAAGCTGGATAGAAGCAAGCCATGTTAAAATTAGGGAGAAAAAAAAAACAAAACAAAACAAAAAACCACACTATAATATCAGACACCTTTAATCCCAGCACTCCAGAGGCAGATCTCTCTGAGTTGGAGGCTAGCCTGATCTACAAAATGAGTTCCAGGACAGCCAGGGAAGTTATGCAGAGAAACCCTGTCTCAAAAAACCAGAGAAGGAGAGAGAGAATAGATTTGTAATGGGGAATGATTTAATTATATTGTAATCTCAAAAACAATTTTTTAAAGATTTGTACATATGTTTGGTAGGTATCTATATAAATAGATAATTTGTCCACATCTACATTATGCACTTAGGACACCCTTAATTTTTCAATATTCCTATGTTGTGTAATCTGTTTTTTCCAATTGTTATATTCTTTGTACGTGTGAAGGGATCTGTGCAGTCTGAGTGTGTGCTGCTTTCCATATCCATTTGAATAAACACTCTTACCTGATCGTACTCTGAAGCACCAGGGTAAAGAGGCCAGCCCAGGAACAGCTCAGCTATCACACAGCCTAGTGACCACATGTCAATAGCTTCACAGAATGGTAATCCAAGAATGATTTCAGGGGCTCTAGCAAAATACAAAGATACAAGATAAAGCAACAAGCATTACTTGGGGAAATCAACTATGGATGGTGACTGAATTCTGCTGCAGTATCAGCATCAGGCACATCTGTTTAATAAACTGGAAAGCATCAGTACACAACTCAGAACTTTGAGAAAGCTTTAGCCAGACAGTGGTGGCACATGCCTTTAATCCCAGCACTCAGTCAGGCGGATCTCTGTAATCTACAGAGTCAGGACAGCCAGGACTACAGAAAAAGCCAGTCTGGGGTGAGGGGTGGGGTGGGGGGGGGGGTGGGGGAGATTTAGAAGTTTGAACTGCAGAAAGGTAATATAGAGCATAATCTGTGTAGCTCACATTAATATCTCTGTAATAATACACTGAGTAAGCATATTAAATTGACTAAATAAAGACATTAACCAATCTTATAACAGTTCAAGGCAGATCCTAATGATAAAGGAGTTTATATTAAACTCAGGGGAAAATGTCTGTCACAAGAACTTTTTAAATATTAAAATTATAAATAAAAGATCATAAATAATTTCTCTTTTTATCACATTAGTTGTTTTTACTACCTTCATGACAAAAATGACTTCTGAAAAATGATATTTGCAGCAGACTCAAGAGCCAACCTATGAGAGTTTGACACTCAGGCCATCATTTAGTAGTTGTCACCATCTAACTTGGGTTTCTGATATACAATGCAGACAGTGGGGGTACCTATCACACAGGGGTGTTACAAAGTTTAAATAAATTAACAAAATCTTGTACCAGTGCTTGGCACATAAGCATATGCAAATATTAGGTATAATAATAACTATTATTATTATTATTATTACAGTACCACTATTTTGAGTCTTAAAACTGCACTTTTAGAAATTTGACTTTCATTAATGCTTCAAGAACAATAATCAATAAACTAAGAAGAATACTCTACAGGTGAACACATCTGAAATGAAATTATTACTCCCGCTGATAAAGTAGGAAACAGACAGGAGAGTCTTGACTAAAAACTACAGTCAGTAAGGGATAGAGCAAGAACGGATCTCAGTTCTGACTCCATTAAATTAAACACACTCATACTAACTACATTCTCACCTTCACTCATTTATTTGGAAGGTGGCATGCATAAATGGATTTTTCTTAAACTATGACTAAAATGACAGTGCATACTATGTGCAATGGATAAAAGAGCAGCCAAGCCTGTGAACCTGAGTTCTATCCCCAAAATCCACATGGTGCAAAAGTTATCCTATGACTTCCACATACATATTTCCCCTACAAAATAAATTAAAAAAAAACAAACAAAACACTAAAATCTCAACTCCCAAATATTAGAAAATAAAATTTGGAGAAAATAGGTTAAAAAAAGAAATGACAAAGGCTCTGAGTGCATATCAATAGTAGAACATATTTCTTTCTTAGCATATGCAATTGGTTGATTTGATTCTCTAACAACAAAGACGGGTAGGGCAGCAAAAGGCAACAGTAACATGGATATCAGTAATGACAATGATAAATGGCAGTGCATACATACCATGTGCTATACACTCCCACATTCTTTATAAATGTTGAATTACAAGTATTGTTTCATGTCAGCAATTCTTAAGTTGCACATTTTCACTTTCTAGTATCTTACAAATGAAGATATGTTTCAGTTTAGTGGCAATGTTACTTTCACATGGCATATAATGCTGTATCTTGGAACCAATTAGAACATTTTAGAATCAGTGAGATAAAGCACTATCTCCATTTGACAGATGAAACTGAGGTTAAATTACTGTCTGAGGCTACACTACTAAATTATGACACCAGGGCATCGTGAATCTAGGATCTGAATTCTGATACCTTCATCACTTTCTCTAAAAATTTCCTGTCCTTCCAATAAATCTAAAAATTTTGGGTCTGAAAATATATTCCTGATACAACTCCCTCATGTAAAAGAAAGAAGAGCCATCTAACTGGCCATGTATCCTCATAGACTGCTTAGGTTTTTCCAATTTTAGTTTCAGGTAATACATGATTATTGTTATGTGGTGTGTATGTGTGTGTGTGTTGAGTTGTTTGAGCAAAGATGGTAAAAAGATTCATTGGTTACTATTGTTGTTGGGCTTTGGCTGTCTGCTGTTTTGAGACTGGGTCTTGCTACATAGCCCCACTTGGCCTTGAACTCATTTTATAACCCAGGCTGACCTTGAACTTGGGATTCTCCTATCTTGGTCTCCTAGTGCTAGAACTACAGGTATGCATCACCATGCCTTGCCTAGGGTATTTTCCCAAAAGATAACTTCCTCAAGTAATTAAACATCAACACCCTTAAGAAACAGGTAGATTGTAGGTCTCCAGAGATTCTAAGACATTTTCTGATCCTTACCCTGAAATAGTAGATCTAGACCTATTCAGACTCATTCTGTTAGACAGCTAGAGTACAACAAATAATATAACCAGTTTTTGTAGCATTTGATATGAACTTCAATTGTGCTCACTATAAAAAAAAAACCCTCAATCACCATATTCGTACTGGGTGTACATGTACACTCCTGCAATCCCATCAAAAAGGATCACTGCAACTTCGAGACTCACCTTGTCTACATGGTAGTTCTAGGACCCAACTTACAAAAGAAAAAAAGAGAGAAGAAGAAAAAGTGATGCATGATGTTGACATTAACTACTGCTATTTATGACTGATGGAATTTCAAATTTTCAATTAAATTCCAACCATTATGGCATGTTCTTAACATCACATAAGTCTGATAGGAGAATTAATAAAGCTGAGAATAGGACTACCCAGAAAAAATATATTTTTCTGAAATTGAAAAGGAAAAAAAAATGCCTTACTTTCAGTGAGTAGCAACATCAATTTCCAAGTTCATGACAGTGCCAGAAATAGCTGGCAGGGCAAGTACACATGGCTTGGTGCCAAAATAAAAACTGGGCTGAGAACATTCCAAAGCATCAACTGAGAATCCGGAGGTTTTAGCAGGCCTACCTTATAGGAAGACCTTTTTGAAAAGGTAGATCAGGAGGGGATGGCTGGCCAGTCCAGTTTTTAACTTCTTAAAACACCACACACACACACATACACACACCAGCTTAAAGAAAACACTATTTCCAGCCTCATTTACAAAAACAAGACAGTGATGTTTGGATAGAATCTGTTTTTCATCTGGTCTCCTGGTTCTGGAATGACTAAAGCAGCTAAGGATTCTCAGGGAGATCTCACACAAGATAGCAACTCTTTCCTTACACAAAGGCAATTACTAGAGAAAACCTCAGGGGCTGAGCAGTGGTGGTGCACACCTTTAATCACAGATTCAGGAGGCCAGCCTGTGTGTTTGAGGCCAGCCTGGTCTAGCGTGAATTCCAGGACAGCCAGGGTTGTTACACAGAGAAACACTGTCTTGAAAAACCAAAAAGAAAAAAGGAAAAAAAGAAAGCTACAGTGGGAGCTTCATCACTGGGGCCTAAACATGTTCATCTTAACCACTTGCTAGTGAGAACCAAATGTTTTCCCCTTTACGGAACAGTGACAGCACCTCTAAGTTGAGATTACAATTGTTGAACTTCTCATTCTCATTGTATTTTCCTCTTGGCCTTCTTTAAACTCTCCGGTCTTAACATAAAGTCTTTGGAATGGTAGACTAGTGTAGGGAACATTTTTAACATGTGCTAGCCCTGAATTTGACCCTCAGTACTGAAAAAAAGTCTATGAACATGAAAACCCTGGTTCTACTATCTGTATAAGAAGGCCAAGCCAGGCACACACCTGTTGTTATCCCAGTACTTAGGGGAAAAAAAAAAAAAAAAAAATCACAAAGATTGACGATTCAAGGTCAGCCCAAGCTACACCATGAGATTCTGGAAATAAAACAGGAAGAAAGGAAGGGGGAAAAATGAAGGATGAGTTTGGTAACTCATTTTACTGTTTCCAGTTACATTGTAAAAAACATGAGGCAATGAAAAGACTATATACTCAAGTGTAGGAGAAAGCTAGAGATGACAACAACAAACTTGGCAATATTTATTCAAATTGGAAAATGCTGCTAATTGTCCTTTGGAAGTAGTAGGTTGCCTTTTAACAGTGGTTCTCAACCGGTGGGTCTCAACCACTACACGTTTTGCATATTAGATAGACTGTATATCAGATATTTATGACTGATAACAGTAGCAAAATTAGTTATGAAGTAGCCACAAAATTTTATGGTTGGGAGTCACCACAACATAAATAAAGGTATGAAAGAATTGCAGTATTAGGATGGCCTTAGAGGATACAACCCCCATCTTTAAAGCACAAACACTAGAGGTACTAATTTACAATAGCTAAGTGGCAGAAACAGCAGCCCTTGCATATTCATCTCCCAACTTTAAACTTTATACTGAAAAGCTCTTCCAAGGTCACAAAGCCCTAGTTCACTGGCACCCACAGCAAGCTGAGCACAAATCATTCTCTGGCTGTTTTCATGAACATTCAGTTTCTTCCCTTTGCTGAGGCACCAAACCTACTTATTTACCAGATTAGAGATGTTACATAAAGTCCAACTTCCTGCATCTGTGGCTTAGATTGAAACTGTAGTTTCACTGTTACAGGAAATTAGATTGTTTGTGTAGGATAAATTAAACTATACTTTTCTCCTCTAAGCAACATCCATCCATAACTAACAAAGTGATCTGAGCTAGAAACAAATGCTGGCTAGTTTGTTTACAAAAAGTAAAGCATTGGGACTGTAAGTGTGGCAAACCTCTGTCCCTAAAGCTCAAGCCCCAACCAAAGACAGCAACTTTCCTTCGAGTCAGTCTACATTTAGCAGGCTAAAAAACAAAAACAAAAACATTTCCACTGCCTGGATCATTTAGCCATGCCTATGGCTAAGTGTGGCAAATTTCTGCCAAATGCTAGTATCTGGATATGTTTAACATTGGGATAAAGCAATGTAAAGTTAAAAGAAAGGGTAGAAGGTTGGATTTGAAGGTAGCGTCACCAGCCAAAAGGGTTTCACAGAGGTTTACAAAAGACAGAAATGTGAGATGTTAGTGAATTCGAATATGACAACAAAGAGATATGAGGATGCTTAAGGCCTGTTGGGGACAAAACCAGTGATGAAGGAGGTCTGTCTAAGCAGCTCTCCATCTGTCACACTTGGTATCAAGTATTACTGTGAGATAACACAGCACTCAGGTAAATCACAGATCGAGTCACAAACCCTAGATGCTGAGCTGCTTGCACAGTGATGTCTTAGGATCAGAATGAACTTTTAAGAAAGTTCCCTACTTATCCTTGAAATTATTCTTAAAGCCAACAACAACCAAATTTATAAGTAGTTTTGAAAAATATTCTAAAACTTAGAAAACCTTGGGGAGTTTTTTGTTTGTTTTTTTTTTTTTGTTTGTTTTAATAAAATCAAAGCCAAAATTAAAAGTACAAAGATTAGCAGCTTAAAATTAAAAATTTGCCACATGGATTGCAAATTAGAGAAAGCTGGGAAGAATAACTTGTCCCACAAATCACTTTTAGTCTTTATGTAAAGATTCTATCAAAAAATGATTTCATAAAATCACTTGCATCTCCTTTTGTTCTGCCCTTTTGTTTTAAAACTGCTTGGTTACCTCTGAGAGGGCACACAAATAGTTAATGAACACCTGCGCACCAAGGCCAACTCAGAGCTGATAAGCTCCTGCCTGAGCTGATGGGCTCAGGGGAAGGAAGTGGGGCAGCACCAGCTCTTCAGCACACCTGTAAGCTTGTGGTGCATTTGTACATACTATTGGGGGGGGGGGGTGCTCAAAGGGGAGTATCAGACACAAATGTAGTTGGAGCCTAAATCTCCCAAGTCATAAGTAAACTGAAGTGAAAATTTTCAAAATTAGCCTAGGTTGACTACAGCAGGATGAGACCGGAAACCACAAGCCCTGAGAGCGTCTTTGCCTCATTTCAAGTAAAATATGTCATGGTTTTATAAAACTATGAAGATTTTTTTTTAAGTGAGGATGGGTTAAAAGACTATCATTAAGCTGTCAATACTGCACTACCCAAAGAAATTTGCAATGTCAATGTTATGTTTATTAAATCCTATGATTTTTTTTTTTAAGAAAAAAAATAGAAAAATCTATCCTTTAGATCAGTGGTTCTCAACCTTCCTAATGCTTTGACTGCTTAATGCAGTTCCTCTTGTTGTGGTGACCACCCCCCCCCCACACACCATAAAATTATTTTCATTGATATAATATAAATTTGATAGACAAGATATATGTATGTGACCCCTGTGAAAAGGTTGTTTGACCCCTGCCAAGGGGTCGTGCTCCACAGGTTGAGAACAACTGCTTATAGACAGGCATATGGAGACTAACAACAGAATAGGGAACCCAGAAATAAACTCTTAAATATGTGGTCAAATAAACTTGACAAAGGTGCCAACAGACAGTCTTTACAGCAAAGGACATTTCGTGAACTAATTAAGTCACATGCAAAAGAATTAAACTGGACCGTTACTTTAAACAATAAAAATTGAACAAGGTGCAGTAGCCTATTCCTGCAATCAATCCAAGCAATCAGGAGGCTGAGGCAGGAAGGAGGACTGATGAGTTCAAAGCCTGCTTGAGCTACCAAGTGAGTGCCAGGTCAACCAGAGTTATATAGCAAAAACCTTGTCCCCAAAACAAGTTAACTTGAAATTAAATAGTCTAAGACTTGCAGAAGAAAACTGGAGATAATGGATTTGTGATGCGCGACACTTGAAGAATAAACAAGGGAAAAAGCAAACAAACCAGACTTCATCAGGGGTCAAAACATTTGTATATGAAACACTAGCAAGAGGTTCAAAAGCTATAAAAGGATACAAGATATCTGCAAATCATATCTATTAATATCTAGAATGTATTTTCTTTTTTAATTTCTAAAACCTAATAAAACCAACTGAAAATCTGGGCAGAGGACTTGAATAAATATCTCTCTAAAAAGTGTAAGGTATACAATAAGGACATGAAAAACGTAAATATCACTAATTAGAAAAATGTAAATCAAAACTACCTGAGATACCACTTTATAACCATAAAGATAACTACTTTAAAAGTATATAGAAAATAACAAGTGTTGAAGGAAACACGGAGAAGCTGGAACTCTCATTCACTGTTGGTAGGGATGTAAGAGCAAAGCCTCTGCCAAAGTCTAGTAGCTTCTCAGAGCTACATACGATTCCCTAAGACCTACCAAATCTATCTCAAGCTCTACGGCTAAAAGACCTAAAAATAAGAACTTAGATACATGTACAGCAATGTTCAAAGCAGCTTCATTCACAACAGCTGAAGGGCAGTAACAACCCAAGAGCCTATCAAAAGATGGATAAGCAAAATGTGCATTTACATACAATGCATTATTTCTCAACAGAAGGAATGGCATCCTTGATGGTTGCCACAGAATAGATTAACCTCAAAACCATAACTTCTAGGGATGGAGGTGGAGAGATGATTCTGTGGTTAAGAGTACTGACTTCTCTTCCAGAGGACCTGGGTTCAATTCCCAGTACTCACATGGTGCCAAAGGACTGGATCTAGCTAGCCTCTGTAGAGACCAGGTACACACTTGGTACACAGACATACATACTAACAAAACACCCATACTATTTTATATAAATTTATATAAATTTTATAAATTTTATATAAATTTAAAGAAAATAGGTAATAAATCTATTGATCCTAATACTCTGGTAGATCGATTTGGAGTTCTACACAGCAAGTTCCAGGCCACATAACAAGACCTTGCTCCAAAAAAAGACACACACACACACACACACACACACACACACACACACACACACACACACACACCCCTACCTAAGAGAATACACATAAATACATATTTTATAGTTTCCTATTTTTGGTAGAGGCTTTTTATTTGGGATGGGAGGCACATTAAATTCAGCCTCATGCAGGCTAAGCAAGTCCTGTATCTGAGCCACATATCCCAGCTCATGCTTCATTTCTTGACTGAATGCTTGCACAATCAATTTTCAATTTAATATTAATTTATTAAATTAATGTCAGATTCTTTAGGACTAATAACCAGATAAGGATCTCAGAAGTAAAAACACCTCTTTTATTTTGGGGGGGAAGGGTTTCAAGACAGGGTTTCCCTGTATTTCTTTGATACCCGTCCTGGAACTTGCTCTGTAGACCAGGCTGGCCTCAAACTCACAGAGATCCTCCTGCCTCTGCCTCACAAGTGCTGGAACTAAAGGCATGCACCACCAACGACCAGCGTAAAAGCCCCTTTTAAAGCCTTGGTTATAGTATACACAAAGTTGTGTATGCCAACGTAAGTGCTGTTAAAAGAATTTTAATATAATAAAAGGGCCTTGTATTAGAAGTACTAGTCTAGAAATAAAAATCATTAGTGTACTTAGGTCAAGCTATCCTAGTTTAACTAAATAAGTTGTAGAAATGTTCAAACAGAAAATCACATCATCATCTAATACAATTTTTGCTATAATTAAAAAAAAAATCAGAATAAGTCAGGCAGTGGTGGCACACACCTTTAGTCCCAGCACTAGGGAGGCAGAGGGACCTCTGTGAGTTCAAGACTAGCCTAATCTACAGAGAGAGTACCAGGACAGGCTCCAAAGCTACACCAAGAAATCCTGTCTCAAAAAACAAAAACAAAACAAAACAAAACCAGAATAAACTGCTGCTAAGGTTAAACCTAAAGGTAGTCCCAAGACATTTTACATGCCAAGGTATGAGCTAAAGAAAACCCTTCAGCATCTGCCCAGATGTATCATCTTGTACAGTCATTCCTTTAAGTGGGAAGTTAAGTGTAATTGTAGTCAAGAATGAACCAGATACTGGGAGAATTCAGCTAGCAACAACCTTGAGAATTAAATGAATTCATTTTGCTAGTACTAAACAGGATCTCAGCAAGAAAAGCATGTTACTTATAGGAATGCCACATATACATGTAAGAAGCTGAAACAAATCTTGTTCCCATCTTGGAATCTAGAAATAAGTAGACTCCTGAGTAGTATAATTAGAATTCTATGCTATGCATGTTAAACATGAGGACACATCTCCAGTATGTTGCACTTGCCTGTAGTAGCGTGACTGCAGGTAGGTTGAACACACAGCTTTGGAAACGTGACTGGCAGAGCCAAAGTCGATGACTTTCACTCGGTAGGGCTGACGGACTGGATCAACCAGCATTATGTTCTCAGGTTTAAGGTCGGCATGGATCAGACCCAGACTCTTGAGCTTCATCAAAGCTGTGGCCGCCTGCTGCAAGATTGGTCTGATGTACTTGAGTGGCAGTGGGCTGAACTTGTTCTGCTTTAGGAAGTCATACAAGTTCTGCTCCAACATCTCAAACACAAGGCAGGTATGATTCTTATGCTGAAAACACTCGTAAGAACGGACAAAATTATACTCGTCAGCATTTTCACTGCTTAGGCGGGAAAGGATGCTCACTTCAATCTGTCCTTGTCTGGCATAAGAGGGGTGATTCTTCAAGATCTTAATAGCCACAATTTCCTTGGTGCTCCGCTTCCAGCACTTTGCCACCTGTCCAAATGTCCCCCGGCCTAGGAACTCTAAGACTTCATAGCTGTTGGTCATAGAGCAAAGGATCTCATGCTGGACCAGCTGGTAATCCCCTTCTCCGCTAGAACTACTACTCTTCGTGGTCACAGTGGTGGTCGTGGCAGCAGCACCCACCACAGTTCTGTTCTGCAGCATGAGAGGGGGATGTTCTTCTATGATCTGCACACTACCGTTGCTGTCGACTTCCTCACTTTTTCTTTTCAATCCACATTTTTGATATGGCTCAAGCAAAGAAACGTTGCTCCTGTGAGTCAGGGTCTGGCTGCTTTGGAAGGTTGCCGTAGCGGCACTGCCTGAGCTATCAGCAGCTGTTACCACAATATGCTCCACTGTAGGAGCTGGGAGGAGGAGGCTCTGGTCGTAAGCAGGAATATTGAAATTTGCTACCTGGTGAGAGGAGCTGCCTTGCCCTTGTGTAGCTGGGAGGGTTTTGCTGTGGGTATAATATTTGTCGTTGCTGCTCTGTCCTGAAACATCCCAGCCAGAGGGCTCTATTTTCAGTTTCTTCGCACTGCAGAAGGCACTCGACGACACTGATGGGGGGGAAAACACCTGCAGCTGTGATGCCATACCTACATGGGAAGAAAGGAAGAATGAGACCACAAGGGTCCATGATGCAAAGCTTACCAACAGCATATATGAAAACACTTGTAGCTGATAAACGACATATTGGCTAATTCGGTCTTAACCAACATTCACAGACAGAAGTGTCCATTACATTCCAAAGCAAAGGCTGACTACCCTGCACAAGTCACACATCATAGTGCTCTGCTTGCCAGTACTGGAGAGACTGCCACCAAACAGAAATCAATCAGATTAATAAGGCTAGAGTATCTTCTGCAGAAGAGATCTCTCTACAGAAAGTTATTCTTAGAAAGCTCAGTAGGTAAAGGCAATTGCTGACAATGTGAGTTTTCTTCCAAGACACTCATGGAAGGACAGTTGACTCCCACAAGTTGTCCCTATGACCTTCACAGTCTTACTAGGACATATGCACCCAGACACATACACGCACATCGTATGTGTATGTGAAATCACACTGGACTACACAGTAAGATGGAGTCAGAGAAAAAGAACAAGGAAGAGAGAGAAAGGAGAGAGGAGAAAAGAGGGAGAGAGAAATATAAAGAAAGATATGGGGAGAGGAAGTGAGAACAGTCCAGCTGCCCTGAATAGCCCGCAAATACCTAAAGTTCAGTAAGCCAAAAGACTAAACTCAAGGCTAGTTAAAGACTAAAGCCCAGACACTTAGCAAAGAACTCACACCATGCCACATGTATCTGCTCTCTTCTCACCAGCTGGACCTTCAGAGGCCTTGGGCTCTACAGTAAACTCCTTTCCTAGCTCTGTACTTTCCCTCTTTATAACCCAGTATGTCATCTTCAAAAGAAAAAACAACAACAAACAAAACTCTCAAAAATTTGTCTCAAATCCAAAACCCTCTTTCTCTTCCTCCTCCTACCCCTCCTACCAAACCTATGAATCTTATCCAAATGCCCACTTGATTATAAGATCTCAAATTTAACATGTCCAAAATTAAATTTTACAAGCCTCCACTCCACTCTCAATTTTCTATCTCAGTTATGGTATGGCAGGAAACACCCACTGACTCAAGCCAAAACTGAGCAATGAGCCTCAGCTTCCTCATCTACATAACGGCAATAACAATAGCCATCTCATGGCGCTATTCTGAGAATTTAGTATTTAGCACAGGTAAAGAGGTAGCTCCTGGCACACACTCATTATCTGGACTCACTCCTCTCCCTTTCTTAACAAACTATTACTTGTCTGGATCTATATCCTAAATACAGCTTAAGTCAGCCAATTTCCTCTACCATTCTAGTTCAAAATGCAAACAGCCTCCAAAGAATTGCCTTAAACACACCCAGGGGATTCTAGGCTTTTATTTGTTGTTGGGGTTGTTTTTTGTTGTATCCAAGCTGCCCTCAAGCTTGCTATGTAGCTGAGGAGGACCTTGCTTTTAAACTGCAAGCTAGATATATAACTGTTCTCTTTTCTTAACCTCTCTTCCTACTTCCCCCAGAAGTTTTCCATTACTTTGGGCATAAAGTTAAAGATCTTCAAAACAGGCCTTGTGGTATAGGCCTTTAATCCCGAGAAACAGGAGAATCACAAATTGAGGGCCAGCTGAGTTTAAGGCCAGCCTGGGTAACTTAGTGAGAGATCCTGTTTCAAAAACAACAAGAACAACAAGAAAGGAGTAGGTGTGGCAGTGGCTGGGGAGATACCTCAGCAGTAGGATGTTAGCTTAGCATGTGTTGCTTAACATATACAAAACACTGACTTCATCCTCAGTACATAGGGGTGGAGAAAATATTTCACCAAGGGGCTAGGAAGATGGCTCAATCAGTAGGGTGTTGCCATGCAAGCATGAGGACCTGAGTTAAGATCCCTTGCACCCACATAAAAAGCCAGGCACAGCAGGCACAAGTATGCACCTGTAATCCCAACACTGGGGAGATGGAGACAGGGCTCCTGAGGTGTGGTGGTCATCTAGTCTAGCTGAATCAGTAAGTACAGCTGAATCAGTGAGAGACCCTGTCTCAAAAAAGTAAGATGGAACGCAATTGAGAAAGACACATTAACCTCTAGCGTACACACACACACACACACACACACACACACACACACACACACACACACACTCTGTGCCTGCAAACACAAACTCAAAACCCTCTCCCAAAAAAACTCTCAAAATGTTCTTGCCGACCAGCGTCCCCCACTTTGATTTGTCTCCTACTTCAACCTCCTAAGGGCTGAGATTACAGGTATATGTCATCATACCCAGCTCTTCAGTTCCTGCAAGGCCACTCCATTTTCTCTCAACATCCGGTACCTCCTAACACAAACTTCTTCTCTCCCTTGCCACCCCCCCCCCCGCCCCACACATATACCACAGCCATTCCTACATCTCTTCCACTATGAATCTGCTGTTCTTCTCTTATAATTTTAAATTAGTTAGTGCCACACCCCTGCCCACACTATAAATTCTATGAGGACAGGTACCATCTGTTCTCTTCCTCACTTCTATCACCCAGATCCTTCCAGAGTCTGTTAATGTAATACAAACACATTATTTGCTGGAAGAAAGACTTGACTCTTGCCTACCAACTTCAATATCTACAAATCACTAACACTAATATATAAATTGCAGTATTTTCAAATGCTTGGTTTTGTTTTTGTTTTTTTACATGTTCTTTCTTCTCTTTTGTTTGCAAGGTTCTTAAGATATAGGTAAAGTCTCCACTCTAAACCACATAGTACAATTTTACAAGTCACAAGAAAATATACAATGAAAAAGGAAGGAAACACAGCAAAAGATGTTACAGAACATGAAAAAAGCACTGTGTAGGGGCTGGAGCAGAGGTCAGAGATAGTGTCTGCCTAGAAGGCAAAGGGCCTTGGATTTGATCCTTGGCACTGCATAGAAAGGAAAGAGGGGAGCAAATGTGTGCACTTCTTTGTGCCTGATTACAACTTAAAACTATCTGCACTGTAGTCAGCTGCAAAGAAGAAACGCATCTTCAACCTTCAATTTCTAAAATGTGGTTTGGATTTACTTTAAGCAAGAGTTTCCATGATTTATATCACCCTCAAAGGGGGGGGGGGAAGACAAATCAAAAGCTAAGGCCAGTGCACTTCAACTTAAGAGGTCATGAATATACAAAGCATTTTGGCCTACCTACATCACCAATGTAAAACCAAATATAATAAAAGTCTTGGGGCTGGAGTGATTAACTCAATGGTTAAGAGCACTAGCTGCTCTTCTAGAGGACCTGGATTCAATTTCCAGCCCACATGGGGGCTCACAACTGTCTGTACCTCCAGTTCCAGGGTATCCAAGCACCCTCACACAGACATCATGCAGGCAAAACACCAATGCACATAAAAATAAATAAATCTTTTAAAAATTAAAAAAAAAGAACAACTGAAACTAAGTAGTTCCTTTACAAAATTTGCCTATTAAAATATATGCAAAGTATTACTTGTTATCATAAAATTGAGCCAAACTAAAAAGAGAAAGTAAATCTTCCAAATTTGTTTTCCCTACTGAAATATAAATTTAACAATTCATCCAAAAACATGGAGCACAATATTTATGCAACTAAAAGTAGTGAAAAAAGTTTAATATAAAAATTTATAGCTTGCAGCAACTATATAAAAGGACAGAGGGTCATGGGCCAGTGGTGACACACACTTGTAATTCTAGCACATCAGATAATAAAAGCAAGAGGCTCAGAAAAGGCTAGCTTTGGTTACAGTAGGCTAGGCTTTATGACCCTACTTCACAAAAAAACAAAAACAAAAATGATAAGGTCATAAAGTAACATTGGAAAGGATTCATGAAATATCCGATTGCTTACTATGATTTTTTAAGACAGTTTCTTACCGAGCCCAGGTTAGCCTCAAACTCACTATACAGCTGAGGATGACCTTGAACCCCTGTTCCTTCTCTTCCTCCCGAGTGCAGGAATTACAGGCATGAACCACCACTCTTGGCCATTTTTTTTTTTTTTTTTTTTTTTTTTTTTTGTAACATGCATAACTAGACGGTCTTTAAAAATACTGCAGCTACTAGAGTGACACTATTATCAACTTTTGATCTTATAACAAAACAGTAAATACTAATGACTTTAAATTTTCACTCAACATTACCCCAAACCCCAAAAAAAGGGAAAGGAAAATATCTTCTAGGACATTTTGAAAAAACATACTCAGAAAAACAAACCTAGCCCATGCAAGGGGAAAAAAAGCAAGCAGAATTTCATTAGCCTTTCTCACAGGTACATATTTTAGCACCAGGATTCTTCACATGGCTAACACTCACTCAGACCTCAGTAACAAGGTGAGAAGAAAACAAAAATCAAAAATGGCCTAGAAAAAGCAACACTGTTATTTATATTCTGCTCTGAAACAAGGCTTTAAAAGGCACAGATACTGCCCCACAAATCTGCCTTTGCAAATGGGGATCAATTATTTTTCCAGGCAAGACTTCTCAAACAAAACTATGGGCAGAATTAATGACTGGATATTTTACTGTATATAATGCTCCGTTAAGGAAATCACAACTCTTTTCAATGTAAATGAAGATAGTTTTTTTCACTTCAAAATTCACTTTCCAATGACTTAAAGGGATTACACCTATAACAAATTTGTGATTTTTTTTAAAGTCATCTTTCTCTGACACAATTTAACAACTGTTGACCTAAATAACTAAAACCAATAAATATTTTATATTAAGTTCTCCCAGAAAGCTGTCCTGGCTTGCATGTACAGGAAAGTACATACATATTCTCCAATATATACTCTGACATACATTCTTATCAATAGATTAGACAGGTAAGTAAAAGAACATGCTTTATTTATTGTTGTTTATATTAGTGAGTGTGTGTATGGCATGATGTGATGGTAAGGCCAGAAAACAACTCTGCGAAATCAGTTCTCTCCTTCCATCTTTAGATTCCAGGGATCAAACTCAGGTGAGCAGGCCAGGCATGTACTGCAAGCAGCTTTACCCACTGAATCATCTTCCCAGCCCAAGACTACATGT